AGCCTGGTTTCAACAACATATATTCTAAAATTAATAACACCTTACCGTTGTGATTAAATTAATAGTTAACTCAGACAGATTCAAGATAATGAATATAAATAAGCATAACAACATGTCTTACATGCTCAGGAATTATCAATCAATCTTTATCAATCAATCTTTATTTGTATAAAGCCAATTCACAACTAATTTTATTTCAATACACTTTACAAAGACTTTACTCATTGCTATATTACAAATACCCAACGTTAATCCATCATGAGCATTAAGCAACATTCAGCCAAGATACAGTGGCAAGAAAAAACATCCTTTTAAGAGTCAGAAATCTTTGTGGTTTCACAAAGAAGAAACCTGTTCCCATGTTTCCAGTCCCCACCAACGATAAAGAGGGAACCTACGAGACAAGAGAGCTAAGCAGGAGCTAATAACTTACATAGTACATGAAGATTTACAGATAGTGACATGCAGTAATATGATGTAAATACTCAGAGAGAGAGAGAGAGAGAGAGAGAGAGAGAGAGAGAGAGAGGCCAGTTCCCCCGGTAAACTGCCTACAGCAGCATAACCAGGAGCTGGTCCATACCTGCACCAGCCCCAACACATGGCAGGTGAAGTGGATGGAGAGATGAGAGATCTACAGGTACGAGTTGGGGGGACACATTCCTTTGAGAAAGTCAAAAAGTATTTTATGTAGCTGTCAACACGTTATTAACTGTCTTGAACGCTTTGCCTTGGACCATTGCTCCGTTTTTGACATGATGAACTGTGTATTAAAGTTTGTGTGTTGGAGTGCTGCAGTAATAGTCTTCATATTCCACCCAGGGGGAAGATCGTAAAAAAAGCTACTGTGCCAGTAGAATCCCTGCGTTAGCCATTAAAAAAATAAAATGAAAAATATAAAAAGTCATTATTCTGTCCGAACCCTGAAGATTGACACATTTTTATTAACATCCAATGTAAATATATCGAATCAATCAATCAATCAAAGTTATTTGTATAGCACCAATCAATAACACAATCTTATCTAAAGACACTTACAAAAAGAGCAGGTCGAGACCACACTCTTGGTAATATTATTTACACAGACCCAACATTAATCCAGCATGAGTACGGCACTTTGCAAAATCTAGCAGATGACAGTGGTGAGGAAAAACCTTTAAAGAACATCTCGATCAGAACCAGACTCATGTTGAACAGTCATCTGCAGAACTGTGTTGTAAACAATACGGTAATAAGTTATAGATCTCTTTGTTTAGCACAAGTAGCAATACTTACATGATGTAATGATGTAAAATAACACCGTCACAAATAAAGTATTACTATCATAATTTAGTACAACATAAACCTTTAGAAAAAAGGGTAGAAATATGCATTTTTCAGAATTATCAACTTCAGACGTGTACAGTAAAGCGCTGCTAGATTGTTTACATACACTAATGTTGCAACTGATAAAGATGTTACTTTTTATAGTGCTAAAAAACATAATCTATAATATCAAATAACGTTGCATTATTTATTTAGTTGACTCAAATATATTTTATTTGTAATAAAGATCTTATTATGCAATAATACATCTGTTGTCAAATAAATGTTATGGAGTAAAGTTGACCTCATATTGGTTCCTGTAGTATTCAGGAGGGCTGGACAATTAATCAAGTTTCAATTTCCACTAAATAATCCGGATTATGTAGTTACGGTGGCCCTGAAGGTAAACTAAAATAGTTGATGATTGCGAAAAACATTTCACTATATGCAAAAGTGTTTCATGCAACACAAAAACATAACAAAAACCAAAAAAAAACATACAAATTTTTCGAGGACTGCAAAAAATATATTTCACCTGCTGCAAATTGTTTTACACCTGTATAAAACAATTTGCAGTCAGTGAAACATATTTCATGGCAGGTGTAAAATCATTTTCAGCAAGTGAAATATATATTTCGCAGTCCCTGATTTTTTTAAATTTTTTATGTTTGTCAAAATGTTTTTCTTTTTTATGAAACACTCTTGCATGTAGTGAAATGTTTGCAATCATTAAATATTTATACAGTTGACCTTCCGGGCAACCGGAGGTAATACTAAATTTAGAATTATAAAAAGGAAAATTTCCTGCATACAATACAAAATAATTGACTTAGGTTCAATATTCCACTTATTTAAATGATTTAGGAATCATCAGTGTCACTAAAACTTTACTGTTCTGTTATTTTTACAGTCTACGGTTACTCGTCCTTGAGTCATGCAGTGCTGCAACACACCGCTGTGACCGGTAGATGGCAGTGATGGCGCTGCGTGACAACAAAACAAAACTTGATGTTTAAAAAAAGAAAAAGGTGAAGAAAAAGAAAAAAAAAAAAAAAGGAAGGAAGCTAGCATCAACAGCAGCAGCAGCAGGGGCTAGCTAATCACAAGCAATGAACCCGGGGGGGGTGAACTTCAGCGTGTAGTTCACAACTTTACTGAGAAGGGGAAAAAGATAAACTCAGACAGCAAGCAGCAGCAGCAGCAGTCCACCTTCAGCCAAGAGAAACAAGGAAGTGAATAGCCGACAAACCTCCAGTTGCTTTTCCGCCGGTAAGTCCCGTTTGTTTTTGACTCTTTCTGGTTTCTTCCCGCGGCGTGGAGGCTCCTGTGATGACGTGAAGTTGCATTTTGCTCTTAAGGAAGGTTAGCCAGGAAACTTTTTTTTTTTTTTAACATCACGTAACTTTACTTCATCTGTTATGAGTGCTTTTCAGGAAACAAGTAGACATACGTATTTGTCATGTGTGGTTTTTATCCTCCCCCCCTCCCTCCTTGAAGACGCGTTTCTTTTTGTCATTCATTGCGCGTCAGGGGTGATTTAAAGACTCAACTGAGCTGCTGGACATTTGTTACCCTTCTGGTCCTGATACAGAGTTATAACCCACCAGAGAGGAGGGCATATTGCACCTTTGTTTTTTTAAAACCTCATCAAAGTCAACCTGACCACTTTGTTCATGCAGTTAAGCTGCTGCTTAGTGATTGAGTGTGTTGACATATTGTGTGTGTGCAGCTACTGAGTCCCTCCCTTATAAACTATTGTCTGTGAATATTTACTTAGTTGTTTCCCAGGGTCATTGTGCAGAAATAGTTAGTTACATAATATCGCAATTTTCATGTTTATATCTTTAAGTCTGAACTCCTTTTTTATTTGAGAAAGTAGTTTGGCATTTACTTTACTGACTGACTATTATTATAGTTGTTGATGATGTGTGTTTTTTGTGCGTTTTTACTTGATATGCCTACTTGGGAATTATTTCTATTGACATCTTTTTAATAGCAACAGTAAATCACACATGAATCAGCGCCCAGAATAAAAAATAAAACACCTGAAATGCACACAAACAGTCTCACTCTCACAGACTTATTAGTCAAACTCGTCCGCTTTCTGGGTGAGAGAGATCAAATGTATAGAAAAAAAAAAAGTGTGTGCTTAACACACAGCGAAGACACAATCGGCCCACAAAAATCTCATGTCTGTCAAGCCCTAACTAATTCATAAAATAATGTTTTCAACGTGTGATTTGTAATAGAAGAAAGTGAGATAAATTGTAATTCAAACTAAAAAAAAAAAAAAAAGCCAAAATAATGTAGTTTAAATGCAGGAAAGTGGAAGAAAACATTACAAACTAGTTATTGGTCAAATATTAGACGTCACATGCAAGCAGTCACCTTTTCATGTTGGATTTTCTAAATCAAAGAATAAAACAACTAAATATGTTGGTTGTGTCGAAGCTCCTGCCGTTGTCACAATTCATCAATATAAATATCCTCCAGATGAATGTAGCCTTATAGCCTGTAGCTTGTTTAGGCGATAATCATAAACTGTACTTTAGATGTAATTGTCTCACAAACATGTGTAAGTCTCCCCTAATGTTTTAAAATAAACGGCTGCATTATCTGTTTTCATAACCCAATATTTATCTTCTGTTGTGTTTCTCCTACATGTTTTACTATCTGCTGCTGCACAGTTTTTAAAAAAGAGCTCCATTTATCTGAACCTTCACAGATGTAAAGATGTATCTTTAGCTTGAGAATAAAGTCCTGTTATTTCCACATTCAATAAATCATCTCATAAACCCGACAGAGGTCGCATCTCCGTCAGTGAGAAATGTTGGTGTAGATCGCATAGAAAATAATAGTCCTGTTTTGCAGTACACTGGCAGGTCTATTTTGTCCCCTGTTTCCAGTAATGACGGCTGTTTGCAAACAAAGCTCATGTCTAAAGCGCTCTGTAAATATTGAATTTGCAGGCTTGTAGAGGCGACTTGTTACTGCTGTTTCTCTGGTAGTTTTGTTCTGGATAACATCACCAGCACTGAAAAAAACCCTCTCCTGTTTAAGAGCTGATGTTTGTGTCCGTGTTTGATTACTTTGTGCACATGTCAGTTTGATCAAATAATAATTAATTGACTTGTTGTTATAACTCTCGAAATATATTTAACCTCTCACTAGCTGCAGCCTTTATAGAAACTAATTTAGCTGAATACCTCATAATGTTTAACAGATAGATGTGTTTATCATGGGAACATAACAGTTGTGTTCTCTTGATGCCGGGCGGCAGTAGCTCAGTCTGTAGGGATTTGGGCTGGGAACTGAAAGGGTCGCCGGTTCAAGTCCCAATGCGGACCAAATCTGGAAGTTGGTCTGGTAGCTGGAGAGGGGCCAGATCACTTCCTGAGAACTGCCGAGGTGCCCTTGAGCAAGGCTCCCCCCCCACCACCATCACCAGCCCAGGAGCGCCTGCTGTGGGCCGCTCCCTCACTCTGGCATCTCTCCATTAGTGCATGTCCATAGGATCCTGTTTGCGCATGTGTATATTTCAGCCTATGTGTGTGTTGCATGACTTAGAGAGTGTAAAAACAGAAACTTCCCTAAGCGGGGATCAATAAAGTAAATCTTAATCTTAAACACATCCATCTTTATTCTTTTCTTTCCCAGAATCTGCTCAAAATATTTCAATCAATCCAAACAGCATGAAACCGTAAGGGGCAAGCTGTTGCTGTACGCACATTGCGTAGTGTGGTTTCTCATTAGCCGTCTTGTCAGAGAAGTGATCGTGAAATGTTAGTGAATTGGAGCTAATGACCAGCTCCTCCCTCCCCATGTGGTAAACACGACGCAGGCTTCCTGAGGCAGACGCTCTCAAAGGTTAAAAGCCTTTTATAGGAGCAGGATTGTTGATCTCCGGCCTCGATTTGATGACAGAGGTGACTCATCTGTGGATGAGGGCCTGCAGATGACGTCCGGGGATGTGTTTAATCAGACTCCTAATTCATTCATGGTTACCACAATGAAGGTTTTTTTTTTTTTTTTTTAACAATTTAACCAGCAAAGCGGGCAGACAGCAGACTGTAACACATAATGAGTCTGTCTGGTTCCTCATTGTGTCGCCTTCCTTTTCCGTTTTGTCCATTAAGTCATTAAGACGTGAAGTCAGCCGTGACATTTATCGACCTCCATTTGCATCCAAAAAATGAAAACATCTCCACTGAAGATTGGACACAGCTCATTGCACAGCAGTGAAAGAACAACCGTCAGCAATGAGTAGAAGTGAGAGTTGATTTGATTTAGGTGTGAATGTCTGAGTTTCAGAACAGATACCAAAGCAACACTTTTCAGTTCCTTAGTTCAAGGGTTACAAACATGTTTGTCACCCTTTTTGTGTTTTATGTTGTCCAAAGCAGGACCGAGTAACCACTGAATAGTAGATTGTTGTAAATGCTAAAATGTAGTGTGTTATGCATAGCAGTGTCACTTACTCCATAACATTACTTTATGACACTGCTGTGTCAAATACTTGTTTCTGATTGGCTAATTACGCATAGCAATGGTCTGATATTTCTCTACAGATTGCTGTTAAGGAACATTCACAGTTACCAAGAAAAGCAGACGGTTGCTAGGGACGCGGCGACTTGCAATAGTATCATTCTGCCGAAAGATGTGTGGCGTATTTGACGTTGTTCTGGTTACTGGCGGGAGAAAAGGGAAAGGAGAGGATAACTACAGATGAAAGAGATGCATATTGCTGGCTATGACAGAAGAATCTACAAAATGACAAATAGTGTAAACACAGAACGTTGCATAGTATGAGATAAAGAAGTGTTTTCTTTTCTTTTCTTTTTTTTATGACTTTCAATTTTTATTTTACAAAAACCAAATCAGCAATAACATATGGTATACATATTTGTTTGTTACAAATACCCTCTACCCCACCCACACACCACTGTAACACAGAGGGGTCAGCAGGTACTTTCTCCTACAGTGGCTTAGCATATAAACAAACATAAAAATACAAAACCAATGCTAATTTTCACACTTGATCTTCATTCTGGCCTGTTAATCGCATCAAGATACACGCCCCACTTCAGAAGATATTTTTCTTCGCCATGCAATCTCCTAAAATGTAGAGCTTAGGACACAGCAAAAATTGCCTTTTTACAACATTGATAATGTAAGAATGAATCTTCCTCTAATACTGATTAATCATGGGGCACGACCAAAGTACATGTACCAGTGTACCTTCATCTACACCACACTTCCAGCAAGTAGTCGAATCCTTTCAGCCAAGTCTGAAGCGCCTACTTGGGGTCCCATAAAACCGGCGCAGAATTTTAAATTGAATAAGCCTCACCCTCAGATCCCTTGACATTGATCGACAGTTACCAACAATCTTGACCCACTCCTGCTCATCATACGAAACCCCCAAATCTCTTTCCCAGGAAACTCTAAGGGCTGTGACAATGCTACCTCCTCCATATTCCATGAGCATCCTATAATATTTAGCGGCTTCATGACCTTCCCCCAATACCTGTATAATTTTATTTAACTTATCCGCTGACTTTGGAGACTTAACCCAAAGAGCTTTTGCAACAAATGGCGTAGTTGAAGATATCTCCAGAATTAGGTTTGAGGTAAATCATATTATTGTTTTGGGTCATTGAATGATTTAAGTGTATCAGCACTATATATATTTTCTAATATGAGGACGTCCCTTTCTACCCACTCCTTCCAAATAAATGCCTTCTTATCAATATTTAGCTTGGGACTGAGCCAAATGTTAGAGGCCTTATTTAAGTAAGGGTCAAACCCTATCAGCCCTGAGACCTTCCTCCGTATGTGTTGAAGGTGAGGTAAAGAAGTGTTTTAAAGGCTGGTGAATGGATGAGCAAAAGTCAACAGACTCGGACAATGAGGAGGCAGAAAAACTCATTCAGATGCTGCACTGATTCATGCCGATCAGTTCACCTAGTCTCACTCAAAGAGGACCTCACTTCACCATCAGAGGGAATGTTCAATTTTTCAAAATGTAATGACAGCTATAGGTTGGCTCATTTTGTAAAGGATTTCTTAACTGGACCACCCCCCCCCCCCCCCCCCCAAACAAGACCTATGAAGGAAATACTGTACAAGCCATGTACATGGTGCGAGAGGAATTGATTTTGTGTGGAGATTTTGCTTCACTGTATAGAAAACATTATAACAGACTAATGAGTCATGAGTCAGTGAATGAAAGCCGGTTATACCAGTACTTGGGTTGACAGCATTAAGTTATTTTAATCAGTGAAATCAGCTGATTTAATCCATTTGTTGGAATGAGAAACTGGTGAAATCAGAATGATTGGACACATTGTTGTTTTTCACCACCATGCAGAGTTTCTGCAGTGCGGGTGAAGTGTCTGTTTATACTGCCAGTAGAGTAAAGGTCATGTCCTAGGTGTCGTAAAGCTGGAATAAACTTAGTGTCACCCACTCTAATAAGAAGCTATAGGTTCTTCTGTTAGCAAGACGGGCTTCCACTTGGTTTAGTGTGGCCTGTCATCGCCTCACATGTTAGTAATGATTAGTTATCTTTGGGTAACGTAGTAGCACATGGCACCAAACACCCGTGGCTTGTACACCCCCTCTCCCGATCCAGTTTTCCCCCTCTGTAGTAGAGGACACTGTTATTTCTGGGTACCAAGGTTAAGCGGGGTCACGTGAGATTTGGTTTAGGTATGTTCCAAAAACAAACTCGGTCACAGGAAGACCATGTCTGATCTTCGGCGGCCTGAGCGTTTCAATGCTTCCAGAGGAATAATCGGCATGTGAGTGGAAGTGACTTTAACTAAGTTCTTGTAGGCATTCGAAAACCGCCTGGAGCGCATATGAGTGGTGATATGATACGTCCATCTGTTTCTGGAGGCTTTTCCCTTCAAGTCAGCTGTTTATCCTGTGTGGGGGGGGGGTGTTTGACTATATTGATGAGTGAAACATGCTGGTTGGCTGCGTCTACTGTTTGTGGACACATACATAGAACAGCAAGTTTCTACCTCGCACTCGGCTACATTTCACTCCAGCTCTCAGGTTTTTGGCTCAGTTTGGAGGAAGTGACATAACAGCTTTGTTTCCTTTTTCCTTATGTTGTCTGGGATCAGGTAGCAGAGGACCAGTGACAACACACACCCAGAGTATTCAAGCACCAGGGTTGCACATGCTTGGTCAAGTTTCCAGCCTTTTGGAAAATTCAGGGTTGGCTGAATAACAGAATAACACCTCGCTGAATAACAGGGGTCTAAAACAGTACACGTATACTTTTGAATATTGTGGTGGAAGGTTTTGCAACACTATATTCAAGTAGTTTAGTTTACATGCAAATATTTTATATATTTCCAGATTTAAAATGTGTTTAATAATGTATGTTTTAATTGTAAAAAGTAGTGCTATGGTGTTTGATTTTCAAGGGATAGATTTTATGCGTGTGGTAGTTTACTATTTATACTATAGCAGTTTTCCTTAGATTAAGTACAAATATGTATCGGTGCTTTCTTACAATGTGCAGTATTAAATCAGAACCCATGTATCATGACTCATCCGAGCCCAACCCCACTGAACAATGCAGTTCAACATAACCATGAAGTTGAATCCCCACCTCTATGCATTGAGAGCTACACATTAAACTTAAATAACATTTAAAAAAAAAAAAAAAGCAGAACAATGCAATCAATCATCCATCAAACGGATAGGCTATTTAGGTAAAAGCATGAATGCTTAAAGGAGCAATATGTAACTCTGACACGTTGCGTTTAAAATGGGAACTGCGGTCCCAAATTCAAAACATTGGAGAGCTTTCTCCCCCCGCCCCCTGCTCCCTTGTGTCGATGCACAAGGAAGCTTCAGTGTTTAGCCAGCTCTGCATCAGCATCACTGATACTTATCCTAGTTTGACCACGTTTCTGGTCATGGAGTTTATTAAAAAAATGAAGGGGGTTTTTAGGTCGGGAAGAATACGAATAAGGGGTCAAAAACGGCTGTGTGGGGGTGCCTTAAAACCACCTACCCTCTCTGGACATACTGGCTGCTGCATTGTTGTCAGAGGAGCTTGTATTTCAACATAGCATGTTTCCTTAATGTCTGACGATATAGTAAGGTCATTTTACCATTTAATTCAATATATGTCTTCCATATTTGCTCCTTTAAAGAAAACCCTGAGTGAAACACCTTCACATGTACATTATGTGTAGAGTTCTTATTCAGGGCTGGATTCATTAGGGATGTTACAGTCTCAGTGTGAAAGTGAAAAACAAACCAGAGTAATGTGATCCACTTCAGTGTACATAAAGAAGGACACAATGGAGAGAGAGAGGCTGGCTCCTCTCCAGACCTGCGTCGTCACGGCAACAACAAACAGCAGTAAGAGCTCCTGAGAAAACATACTGTGCAGAGTCAGCATCCGGCTCATGTGGTACTGAATGGTTTTGTTGTTCATGCCATACGCAAGGGGCTTGAACATTATTCAATAATGTTCAGTATTATTCAAGACTTTTTATACATCGGTTCAGCATCGGTAACGGTTGATATTGTTGACAGACATCGGCTCATAAATAAATGTGGCATGAGTCGATGTCAGTAGCCGATGTTTATTCGTTATATCAAATCAATTTAATGCTGACATCTAATGTAGAACACCTGACTGCTGATTGTTTTTTGTTGGGCTGATGAAGTCACCTGTTGGACAAACTCTGGCTTGTTTTGATTGTCAAAATGTTGCATTGTGGGAGTCTTACACCAAAAGAAGTCATGAAACAAACAACGGTATAAGAACCGGCAATTGGCTAAATTGTTATTACAAACATCGATAGGTAATATGGCCCTGATTTTCCCAATCGTTGCATCTCTGCTATTTCCAACTATTGGTGTAAGTGATGAGTGTGGGTTGTCTCACCTGTATGTGCTGTGAGTGAGAAGCTAAAGAACTCAAACCTGGACAAGAAACATCAATAGATGACCGAAAAACAACACCACCTAATATAAAATGTTATATTTGACTTTGGCACAGATGTTACTGAAACAGCTAGAAGTGATATTTTGGATGTTGGACTTCTTTGAAGACTCCAAAATGAAATACATTTCCTCATCACACGTCCTTACACTAAGATGTCGGAAATACAGAGATAAACAAGTCAAGACGGACGTGAGGTGAAACCGTAGGTTTGTCTCCAGATTAAAGTGTAACCCTAAGAGACTTTAGTAGATTAAAAATACTCTGAATGTCATGTTTGTATACATTTTGGATTAAAGAGCTTGGAATAGTTTTATTCCTGCGTTTCCTAACCCTCAACTTACATCCAAAACCCGTCCATTTTAATGATGTAATCTGCGGTTATCTGATGATGCAATGCTCAGCCTTTCTGTTAACAGTTAACACTGTTATTACCAAACTCAAGATTATTAAAGGAGTCGACTTATCAAAAAATCTTTCCATTCAAACGCCTTGATAAGCGACCTGTGTAAAGTCTTTCTTAACTCTGCAGTGTTGCAATAACACAGTTTCCAGAAAAATCTGATTTTATTGTGTGGCAGCTCTGACGTCTATTTAATCGACAGTATATGAAGCAACGCTGCAACAGCCGTTTCTGTGGTTATTCAGGAGCGGCATGTTTGTCAAGATTAGCTCACAGTTGGAACTTCGTTTTATGTCTGCAGCTTTTAGATGTTGCTGTCAACTTTGACTGTTTTGCAGTTTTCATCCTAAGGAGTCAAGTAGTTACTGAATGTTGTCTCTAATCTTCCTTCCTCTTGTTCCTAGGTCAAAGAAAACGGAGCTCAGATGTTGACCGTGGAGTTTGCAGAGTGAATGAATGTCTCCAGACTGGGACATGTTATCTGTCAGGGCCAGACCTCCTCTGTCCTGACAAAGGGAGTTTTACAACCACAGTCCTGACAGTCTACCTCAACAAACGTGGACTTCACTCCCTCTGTTCCACCTCTCAGGAGGAGATTTTCTACCTCTGCACCCTGCAGGTGCACGTAGCTGTTACCACTGAGCTCAGAAACACCAGCAGACCCTTTACTTTCTCAGAAGGCTTTCAGGTGTCAGTCACAGCAGGGTCGACTGGCTTTCTTCCTGCTAAGCCGCTTCAGGTGACATCCTAAGCATCAATGTCACGCAGTGGTTTGTGATGTCAGAGTCCTGCAACGGACCAGGACCAGGAGTTGGACTTGCACCAGGAGCAGTGGAAGCGGAAGGACCGGCAGGGCAGGGTCAAAGAGAGGTCCCTAGGTTTTTGGTTGGCTGTGAAGATGACGAGCAGGACATGGGCCAAATGGAGGCAGGCATGAAGAACGAGATGTTTCGAGAAGAAGACATGGAGGATGATGACTATGAGTCGGTAAGAGACAGGTGTTGATTTGTGAACGCACTGCTAGGGTGCAACACTTTCAGGTGTACACTTTAAAAAAACAAAACAACTTATTACATATTTATTTTGTTTAAGACCTAGCAAACTCTTTTTACAAAGTTGTGTTTATGTCTTAGACTGATCATTTCCTGATGTAACTTGAAGTGAGAAAAATATAATTTATAGAACTGGAACTTCTTATTTCTGACATTAGGACATAAACAGGTTTGAACATTTTAGAGAGGAAAGTTTTAATTGGAATTGGATTGTTGACAAAGAAATCAACAGAAGTATACAATGACTGGCACGAGAACTATACAGTAAATAAACAGCTTTAATGCCTCTGGTCTGTTGTTTAGTCCTGTAGCTGTAAACGGACTTAATGATAGCGCTGTGATAGCTCCTCACTGACTTACCATGACCTGCTTTTTCTTTGCTGTCTCAGTCAGGATATGTGTCTCTGTTTCACTTCAACATTTTATTCTTCAACTGTTGTCTCACCGACTGCGGAACAAACAAAACGTTTCTTCATCATCAATGAAAAAAATATTTTCCAAAACTATTGAGGTTTAATGTCGTCTGAAAAGTCAGATAACATTTCAGTGCAAGCAATAAACGTTTAACCTACTAAAAAACAATAACAATATAATTAGGGATGGGACTGATCCGATCGATTATCGTATGGGGTCCGATATTGATGTACTGAATGTATCGGTTATCGGACTGATGGCACCGATCCAGGTCATCGATTTAGAAAGATCCTTGGGCATTTGAAACATTCTCAGCTTGAACAGTCTCTGGCTTTGAAGACATTCATAGTCTGAACTGCAAAGGGACCACACATCGTCTCCATGACGACGTTCAGACAACATGGAAGAGCTCCTTCTAAATGATCAAAAGTACAACTGTTACACTTATTTAATATTTAATTTCAAAACCTGACAGTTGCTGCTGCTTTCTGTTTGTTTGTGCAGCCAGTCAATTTTTTTTACATTTAAATTTAATATTTTTTTCTTCTTTGAATACGAAATTCCAGGTTCACTACAGGTTTGTGTAGCCTTAGGCATAATACCAACAACAAAAACACTATTAACTATGATTATTAAATATCAGTATGTGTATCAGAATCACATTGGACTTACAAAAAAGTGTGTCTGTGCTTCTCTAAGTATAATAATAATAATTGAAGCTCTAAATAAGCTTCCATGCTAACTGGCCTCTTTCATTGTCTTTGTGTTTCTTCCTGTTGTTTTTATGTTTCCCTCCATGCTATGTTATCATATATGTAAATCTGTGCACCAACTATGCAAAGCTGTGACAACACATTTCCCCTCAGGGGGACAATAAAGGATTGTATTGTTAACTAAACCAAAGGGGGGCATTGCACAAAAAGTCATATCAGGACAGGAGATCTGTTTTGTTTAGCTGTCTCTGAAAATATCACTTAATTTAACTTGTCATCTCTCTCCATGTTTTCCCCTCTTCCGCCCTGGTCTTCTCCGTCCTCTACACACCAGCCACCAGAGCGCCAGATTCTGGTGGGCATCTGTGCCATGGTGAAGAAGTCCAAATCCAAGCCCATGACTCAGATCCTGGAGCGCCTGTGTAAGTTTGACTACATCAACGTGGTCATCTTTCCTGAGGAGGTGATCCTGGAGGAACCTGTGGAGAACTGGCCTCTCTGCGACTGCCTCATCTCCTTCCACTCTAAAGGTAAAAGTTCACACACAAGTTAAAAACATCCTGCTGTGGTTCAGGAGGAAGTGGTACAATCAGACATCTGTGGAGTTAGCCATGTTTCTCCTTCCATCCAGATTCATTTTCAGTCATTTCAGTCTTTTCACATGTACCTCTGGTGTCCTGCTGTTGCATCATGTTTCATCATAAATAATAAAGACCTTGAATCTTTTGAACAACAAATCCATACAGTTCACCAAGAAATGTTTCAAAAAGCCAACCCTAATCTTTGTACATGGAAGGCAACATTTATTATATAACTTACATTTTCTCTTTTTGTGTTAACTACTCTTGTTTGTTATGTTTGTCGGTGTCTTTTCAGCCCATGTGGGCTGGGCACCCTTTGGTGTATGTCATTTTGAAATAAGTAAACTTAACCAACTATATCTTAAAGGGAGGAAAGTAATATTGTTTTTTGGCAGCTTTTTGTGGGCTTTTTATTCCTTTTATTTCAGAGATAAGACAGTGGATAGAGTCAGAAATCAGAGAGAGGGAGAGTGGGGAATGACATGCAGGAGAGTAGCCACAGGTCAGATTTGAACCTGGGCCTCCTGGTTTTGAGGACTACAGCCTCCGTACATGGGGCGCGTAAACTAACCACAAAGTCTTGGTTTCTACTTTTGCTTTGTTTCTAAGCGAAAACCCCAGAATCAATTTCCTCTCGCACCAAGTCCAGCAGTATTTAAATCCTTTCTTTTTTTGTTAGTAATCTGCTGAGTGAATTCTCTGAGTGAATGTCCTGTGAAGTATCAGTACCTAAGAAGCTGTATGTTAGAGACTTGGTCTGGTTTGTGTCAGCCTGCCCGGCAGAGACTGCAGCAGTTTATGGGAACTTGTCATTGGAAAACAAAGAGAACTGGTGGCGGTGGAAACATCTATTTATGGCTTGCAATAGATGTAATTCCTCAGCTGACTATGTGTGCTGGAGACATAGCCACATGAACACGATCAATAAAACTCTTTATGTATATGTCCTCTATCTTGAATGGTGCATGCGAACACATGACGCTGCACCGCGGTTTATATCAAGAGCTTAAACATTTGGATTGTATTTAAAGTTATCTAAACCAGCAGAATATAGAAAGCAAGGGATTCAATAGTTTCATATATCTTTGAAACCTTTGGAGTGGAAGGAGCGGGACTGAATACAGGCTCAGCTGCTTTTGTGTCAAATAATTAGACATCAGAGAAATGCACCGTTTCAAGTCCTGTACCATTGCGGACTGAAATATGGAAGTTGGTCTGATCACTGAAGAGGTGCCAGATCCTTTCTCGAGTTCTGTCAAGGTGCCGTTGAGCAAGGCACCGAACCCCAAACGGCTCTGGTGCTCTCCCCGTGCATCAGTGTGTAGCAGCCCCACTCTGACATCTGTCCACAGGTCCTGTGTGTGTGTGAGAAGCATGTCTCTCAATCACAGAGTGTAAACCAGAATTTTCCTCAGGGATTAATTAAATATGTAAAATAAAATACAAATATTTTAGTCATATCACATAGAAATAGTGTATGAATGTTTAAGTATTTTTGTCCTCCTGACTCGTCTCTGTGTTTATGTGAGTCAGAGTCTATCACATGACTGTTTTTCCATTCTATTTATAAAAGCATTACATTTTTTGGATCTTGTCTCCAACCCTGGGAACATGTTAGATCCTCTGACGTTTTTTATTATTATTAATAGAAAATCTGAAATCTAATATTTCAATAAGATATTTCCTGCCGTCAGCCTTTCTGCCTCTGATGTAGAACATTACAGCAGATATCAAGAGCAGTGACCTCCAGGATGTTTTTACAGTGTGATAATAACTCATTGTGATGTATAGAATGTGGCAATCCCTCTTGCAGTAATAAAGTTTGAGTGACTAACCACATGATTGTATATGTTGGTTGAGCTTGGATTTATGAGTATACTGAATGGTCTGATCGTGTGTGTGTGTGTGTGTGTGTGTGTGTGTGTGTGTGTGTGTGTGTGTGTGTGTGTGTGTGTGTGTGTGTGTGTGTGTGTGTGTGTGTGTGTGTGTGTGTGTGTGTGTGTGTGTGTGTGTGTGTGTGTGTGTGTGTGTGTGTGTGTGTGTGTGTGTGTGTGTGTGTGTTACTCAGGTTTCCCTCTGGACAAAGCTGTGGAGTATGTGAAGCTCAGGAATCCACTTCTCATCAATGACCTCAACATGCAGTATTTCATACAGGACAGGTAAAGACCAGCTAACACACACACATAAACAAAACACCACGTCAAGGCAAGGGGTAAACTTTACGTCCCTGTGTTTCCACTTGAGGCTGTCTCCAAAAACCAAGAAAACCAAACCAGGTTCCAAATTAAGATTCCCAATTTTAAAGTAGAAAGAAACATATTTACAGCCTGTTACAACAAGTTTTGATCTCTAAAGCTTATTTTCTATATATGAAAACTGTCAAGGTGGTGGTGGTGGTGGTGGTGGTGGTTGGGGGGGTAACTCATCTGTTTGATTATTAAGGCTTAGAGGGTTGATCTGACGGGCACGTTGCAGCTGTTTGCGGTGAGGCTAGGCTTCACTTTAGTTTAATTCTGTCAAAATCCAAGATTCATTCAGCCCCTCTACACTTAAGACGCTTTGCCTGTTTCTGTATCGGACAAAAGTAAGTGGGAGTCTGCATTTCCAATTTGGGGATCATCATCGCTGGGCTTCATAATGCCTCTTCAGAAACCAACGAGTGAGACATTGTCCATGTTTTATACAGTCTTTTATACAGTTTAGTAAAGGGGTATCAAAAAAAATGTAAACAAAATTACTAGTGAATTACTAGAGGCTCCACATAATTACCAGCCAAACTGTAAAGGGCTGTCTACACAAAGAACAGTAACTTAAAGATATCTGGTTTACGGAGGCATTGACTGATTTAATCCCTGAGGATTGTCCCCACTCCCCCAAGAAGTTTCCTTTGGGACAGCAGCCAGTTCAACATTAATGTAGAACTATAATGTCAAACAAAGTGGCCGAGTTGATATTAATGCCTTTATACAAAGCTTTGAAAAATACCTGCCTTCTAAAGACGACCTTCACAGTGTTATATGACATGTTAAGTAGAACTTTTTTCATCCACAGCCTTCTTGTTTCTCTTTCTATCTAAGGTGATACATTTCCATTTTCCAAAGCTGTGTGCTTCAAAGTGCTGTCAACCCGTTATCATTTATGATTTTGTCATATCATGCTGTTAATCATTCTCAGCGTGGATATCATTTTAGATATCTTTATAGTACTTCATGGTGAGGTCGGCCCTTAATATTTATATATTAGAAATTAAAGTTAACACTTTTATGGTCTCAGCCACCACTGTTGATAATGTGATAATTGTTGATGTATCAGTCCCTTGTGAGTGAGTTGTTCATGAAGATGTTCTGAACAAAACTAGAACAAAGCAAGAGGTGTTGCTGATGAATGGACCTGCAACAGTGATACTTTTTCACCATTGTCTGTCCCATTTTGGAGCTCCTTGTTTCCCAAACAATAACTCGCAGTCTGTTAAACTCAAACTCTTTGTCTCAGCTGCTAGCAGTTAAACTGGGAATTACTATGAAGTAGCACCTCTGGTCGCCTCTTTTGTCATGCAAATCAGACAACTTTATCAACATTAATTATCTCTCTTTGCTAAATTGGAGCAGCTGCATTATTTTAAAACGACCAGCCTGTTCTCAGTTGCAATGTTTTTTCTTTTCAACACCTTAATTTAACCATATGCACTAGGTTATTTTTCGCAGCTGCACAAACTGACTACCTGTGTTTGATTTTTTATTTCTCTGTCAGGAGGGAAGTGTACCGGATCCTACTGGAGGAGGGTATTGACCTGCCTCGTTATGCCGTGTTGAACCGAGACCCCGACAATCCTGAAGGTGACCAACAGCTCCGACTTTGTGTTAACAAAGTGTTTCTAAGAAATCCTAACCCTGCCCCTAGCCCTCATTCATTATAACAAAATAAAGCTTAGTCATCAGTTCCTGGAAAAATGTTTTCAGAGAACAAATCTGTGAATAAATGGAAGCACACATGATTTCATTACCATGATAAAACTGTAAGATAGGAGCAGTTCCTGGACTGAAAAAGTTTTTGAAAGGGATCCACACGGACATCATGTCACTAGAAAACTTTTTATATCTCTGTTGCTGAACCTCTGCCATCAGTGTGTGAATGTGTAGGTGTGACCTGTGGTGTAAAAGTGCTTTGAGTGGTCAGAAGACTAGAAAATAAATATACAAGCTCAATTCCATTTACCATCATGAAAAAGCCATGAGTAATGTTAAGAACATTTCAATTGAGTGATGTTAAAATACATAAATGAACAAAGCAGCCATGTATGAGTCTGATGGATGTGGACACAAAACTGTGGAGTTTGCTTGCTTTTTAAGTTTTGAATCTACAACTTCAAATCTTCAACAGTTTTGATGTAATTGCATTTTTTTTGCGGCATTTCCCGGTGCTGTTGCATTATTTTAACTATTCTTCTTAAATGAATTTAAAATCATCTCCCCTGTTCAGAGTGTAACCTGGTGGAGTGCGAGGACCATGTGGAGGTGAACGGGGAGGTGTTCCCTAAACCCTTTGTGGAGAAACCCGTGTGTGCCGAGGACCACAATGTCTACATTTACTACCCAACTTCAGCGGGAGGAGGCAGCCAACGACTCTTCAGGAAGGTAGATGTCAAGCAAGCAACACAAGGCAAACTAATTCAGCCACTGGTTGATGTTGTGATCTTTGAGATACTACAACAAAGAAACAGGTTTCAGGAGTTTGATTACGGTCGCACTAGTCGCCTTTCATGGAGAATTATAAGCTTAATATGTTTATTTGGTTGAGTCTTAGTTTGTTGCATTATTAAATGACTTAAAAAAAAAACAAATGTTAAGACTACTAAAGGTTACACTGACAGGTTAAACCTGTCACTCACCTTACCTGTTAATGAAGCAGCAGTCGAATTGTAGAAATCTGCTCAGCAGAGACAGACAAAGGTTGGACAATTAGGTGAAAAAAACATTATTTTTTGTACAAATTTGGGTCAAAATGCTTTGATTTGCCTTTCTGAGTCCTTCTCTCCATCTTTGTTATAGATTGGGAGTCGTAGCAGTGTGTATTCCCCAGAAAGCAACGTACGAAAGACAGGATCCTACATCTACGAGGAGTTCATGCCGACAGATGGTACTGATGTGAAGGTACTGGGAAGTTTCACTTTGCAATTGATAGAGGTGTTTATCTCTAGACTTCAGCAACAGCTAGACTAATGATTGGACAACCAGCCTTCTCTGTTGTTGGAGCTAATCTATGGAATGGTCTACCCACTGAACTGAAAATGCTACACAGTTTGAATGTTTTTTAACAAAGGTATTAAATCATGGCTGACGGAGAAACAACATTGTTCCCACACGTAAACGTACATGAGCTCACAAATGTCTGTCATATATTTTTAGCTGCCTTCTCTTTGTATTTTATCCCTGTTGCATTCATAACTGCACTGTATTTATAACTGAACTGTTTTCATTTTCTTACCCTTTTTATTTACCTTTATCTCTGTTGTTTCTAAAAGCCTCATGGGACAGGTGTTGCACAAATGAACCTGGGCCTCCTGGTTTTGTAACAAATGTTACTGTATGTCCATGTTAAATAAACAAATAAATAATGCTAATAAGACTAACTGTGCTAAATGCTAATAAGTCATGCATTGAATAAAATATACATTATCATATGCTAAGACACTCTCTGTGTTTGTGTCCCTTCTCCCTGTGTGCGTGTGCGCGTGTGTGTGTGTGTCAGGTTTACACAGTGGGGCCTGACTACGCCCATGCAGAGGCTCGGAAATCTCCTGCCCTGGATGGAAAAGTAGAGCGAGACAGCGAAGGGAAGGAGATCCGTTACCCCGTCATGCTGACCGCCATGGAGAAGCTTGTGGCCCGCAAAGTCTGCCTGGCCTTCAAGGTAAACTTTCAATATCATGCAGAGGAGGCAGCAAGGCACAGCGAGAGGGGAAACAAAGAAAGGAACATTACATTATTTATGAGCATGTGGTCCTTCCCCAGTCCTGATTATAGCTCTCTAAGGCGCCAGTGGTCATAACCACACAGGGAATTTTTTTATGGGAAGTTATCCATTTGGAGTTAACTTAAAGATTGCATCCTCTTGTGTTTACACACAAGGCTCTCAGCTCATTAAACCGACATTAGTAGACAGAGAAAATGACTTAAAAACCAAACAGTATAAACACAGCCAGTGGAGGAGCCTCCTAATGAGGACTAATTGTTGATATTTGGTGGTTTATATTCCCCAACACTGGTGCTGCCGGAACCCTTTTGTTTCTGCACCCATTAGAATAATTCACATCAATCTGCTCTCACCAACATTATTCACAGTGCTGTTATCAGCAAACATTAAGCTAATAGAGAGCATACCTGGTGCTGACTCCATTAACACCCATCAGTCATTGTGACAAGTACGTGACTGATTTGTTTTTAACCAATGAGTGAGTTATACAGTCTCAGGCTGTTTTTATTATAAAACATGAGTCATTTTGTTTTCTGCAAAAGAAGAGCTAAACAAGATGTGTTTAACTTTTTGTTTAACAAAGAAAAGCAAGATATTTACATTCAGATCATGTGTTAAAATGAAAGAGATGGCAAACGTATAAATGGAGTTTTCTCGATATAGAAGTCAGAGTAATATTATATTATATATTCATTGGTTAATTCACCTTCTCAGACTTACCAATGGTTGAAGGCATCGTGCTTGTTTTTTTAAAGGTTGGGCTTTTTTTGCCTTTATTTTAGAGACAGGACAGTAGATAGAGTCAGAAATCAGGGAGAGAGGGAGAATGGGGAACGACATGCAGGAAAGGAGCCGCAGGTCAGATTTTAACCCAAGCAGCCCACTTGGAGGGCTAGACCTCCGTACATGGGGTGCGCACACTAACCACAAAGGCATCATGTTTTATCTGCACTGATAAAAACATGCTGTATGTTAACTTGGGCTATAAGAATATAATATATATATATATGTATATATATATATATTGTCTTTGTCTCCTTTTGTGGTTGTTTATGCATTTATTTCAACCTATTTTTTTATTTCTTTTAGCAAACAGTGTGTGGGTTCGACTTGCTCCGGGCCAACGGTCACTCCTTCGTCTGTGACGTTAACGGCTTCAGCTTTGTCAAAAACTCCATGAAGTACTACGATGATTGTGCCAAAGTCCTGGGGTAGGTAACATGAGCTTAACAAAAAACATTTCTCATTATTGAACTGGAGAAAGTGTAGGCACATTGTCCAATTGTCTGTTAGCTAAAAGACTGTTTAAAGGTCAGTGCTGACATCCTAATTTTTTCTAGACAGCAGCTTTACATAAGCTCCTGTTGATGATAAACAGTATCAAGTCCTCTGGATGGATCAGTTTGACTGTACCTAGGAGCAGACTCCTCTTCTTGTTTTCCGACATGACATCTCTGGCACTTATCTCTGACATGTCTTGTTGTACCTCTAAAGTAAATATTGCCTGGAAGCTGTCATGCTGTAATTTATCCGGAGCGTCAGACAGCTCACAGGACTCTGCTGTCAGCTTTACATCCAAGTTAGTCTCTAATTTATCACCTCTCCTTCCAGGCAGGGTAACTATAGCTTTATGGCTAAGGACTCATAAATTGTGCTAATTAAAAGACAAAGACGAAGTAAAGGCAACTGCTGTTCTGTAATGGACACTAGCTTCATCAAAATCCCTCAATGTAGGGAGCTCATGTTGCATACAAGACCTCATAGGAGATGAAAATATAAAAATATATACTTGATTTATTTTAGTTTGTGTTGTTGACGCTGCATGATTTTAACCAGATTTTCACAATCTGCTTACTTTTGTTTTATCATCTTCATCAGGAACATGGTGATGAGGGAGTTAGCCCCCCCAGTTTCACATCCCCTGGTCTATCCCCATGGAAGCTGAAGACATCCCCATCGTCCCAACAACCTCAGGGACCATGTATGTACTGGGAACCCCCCCCCCCCCACCACACCAATACTGGTGTTCAGGGTTCCTCGTTTATCTGGAAAACTCAATCGTGCAAATGATGTAATACATAGTACAACTGATAATAATACAAAAACCTAAAAGGCATATATTGGTGAACATTAGCTTTACAATTCAGTTAGACAGGTTCTCTTAAAATACATTAGAACATAAAGTTGCAACCAGAATCTAAATGTAATGTTCACGTATCACTCCTTTAGTATCTTGTAAATTGTCTTTTTTTTTTCTTTTTTGGGCCTTTTGCCTTTATTTGATAAGACATCTGAAGAGAAACAGGAAATGTTTGGAGCAGAGAGAGAGTGGGACATAAGATGCAGCAAAAGGCCGAGGTCGGATTCCAACCCCCGGCTGCTGCGACTAGAACTATAGCCTCTGTACGTGGGGCGCGTAACAAAACCGCTAGGCAATTGGGGCTCCATAATTTTAAATTGCAAATGTTCTCTGTGTTTGTTTGAGTGTTTTAGAGGGTAAAATAAAAGCTACATGTTGTTCCTCGTCCTAATTTTGTCCTCTCAACTCCACCGCTGTCTCCAGGATGGAGCTGCGCTGTGTTATTGCCATCATCCGCCACGGAGACCGCACACCGAAGCAGAAGATGAAGATGGAGGTCCGACATCCTCTGTAAGTCTTTTGGATCATTAAGATTTCTTTCTTTCTGTTAGCATACCTGTAAGATTTGTGTTCCAGTTAGAATAAAATAAAAGTCTTATAAGCTTCTCTCTGGCTGACACTTTTTACTCAATAATAGATATTTTTAAAAATGATTTCGCACCATCAAAAGATTTTGAATACATTTCCTTATCAGATGTAACTGTATCTCTCAACCTTGCTGTGTTTCATTGTTTCTCTTCTACAGATTCTTTGAGTTGTTTGATAAGTACGGAGGCTACAAGTCAGGAAAACTGAAGCTGAAGAAGCCCAAACAGCTCCAGGTGAGAGAGACTGATTCTAATCTCCTGTAATTGTTTTTCCCACGGATCCCTCTCTTGTCTGTGTTTATTTCTTGAAGATTATGAATGAATCCTTTAAATGAGGATGAGTGGTTTCACATGATGTGTTTTAATTATATATAATTATGGTAATTGATCATGGACTATTATTGTTTGCTGTCCAAGTATTCCTGCATGGTTGTCTTTGTCACTCTCTCACACATTCATCCTGCCATTGTGCCTTTTTAAAAACAAATCTTGTAGAAGCTGTCATCTGTACTCTCTTAGGCGCTGTGTCCACCTCGTGTTTACATGAGCGCTTGTTATCTGAGAAGAAAAACGCTGCATGTCCTTCCTGTCTCTATGACCACAGTCGGTTGACAACGGCCGCTGTATGACCGACACAGCTCTGTTATTTTTTACTGCATGTTTTATGTTTGAAATTGTTTTTTTTACCCCAGCAGACACGGAGCAAAGAGGATGTGATGTAGGTTTCTAAAATATGGGGAGTGTCATACAGTTTGAAGAGCGATTGTAAAGAAAATAAATTAAAAAGACGCTGGGCGCTGAGCTTTTTCTCCAGGGTCAGGTTTAGTCTGCTAGATAACAGTCAAATTAAGGCTAACTGCCTCCTTGTCTGCAGGAAGTGCTGGACATCGCCCGCCTGCTGCTGGTCGAGCTGGGCCAGCATACCGACTGTGAAATCGAGGAGAAGAAATCGAAACTGGAGCAACTCAAGACTGTCCTGGAGATGTGAGTGAAGCCTTAACATCGATCACACACACACCATCATCTTCACGCTTCCCCAGTCGTCATCTTTTCATCAGACAACCACTCATGATGCAAAACTAGCTTCATCTTCCCACAATCCACTGGGGTCCAGTCATTTTTTATTCCTTCCTCCCTTTTGTGTCTCTAACTCGTTGCTTTATCTTTTCTTCCCTCCTCTGTCTCTCTCTCTTTTCTCCTTTCCACCCATCCCTCCTTCTTTTCTCTCCAAAAGGGAATCCAGCTTGAATGACACTCAGTACGCACCCTCTCCCTTTTTCACTTTAAAGGATGAGGTTTTACCACCCTCCTTTTCTGTAGTCTACCTAGAGTGTGTGTACAAAATATTCGGAAAACTGTAATTTCACTGTCACAAACAGGGGGGAGAAAACTTTGTATTATCTTATACTCGAGACTAGGGGTGACCCCGACTTAGGATGTACATACTCGCACCTGATTGGTCAGAGTTTGGTCCCGTGCGTGCGTGCGTGAGTGCGCGCTGATTCAACCACCACAGCAGCAACAATCTGATCACTGATAACAAAAGAACGGTTTTTACTGCCCCCTGACTTACCATTTGGAGATCTACTGAACTCTCCTGAACATTCAACAAAAACAGTCCTGCTACATTAGCAAGGCTCCTCGATCAAAATCCAGAGAAAGATTTAATCCAGACACATTCAGAAAGTTCCAGGAATGGCTTCAAATTTGCAACTGCTGTAGTACTTGCCAACGCTGTATTTTCTGTAAAAAAACATTTTTTTTATGAATGATTTTTTTTTTGACTGTGACAGAACAAAATGCAGGCCTCACTCTGATCTTAGAATTGACATCTCATTTGTCCAATCAGGACCTTCCATTCTCTGTTCCCAGCCTATAATAGCCATTTGAGAGCCTGAGTTTGAAAGGATGTGCCTGCCCCTCTTCTGTTCTGGGGTGATCAACATTTCTTGTAGCCAATGAAATTCTGAACACTGATATGCTGCTTTGGGTGATTTTTTTTCATGCACACATTTAGGGGATTGAATAACAGTACGAGATGTTTTCATGATTTATTTGGAGAAAACGGACAAATCACTGTAAAATCATACGTTCAGCACCCTCATATAGCTCAGACAAGACTAGTGTACCACCAGACATTTAAGTTAATACTATGAAACGTTTTCCTAATGTTTTGTACACTGAGTGTATCAGTTTCCATTAACATCCATCCATTAGAGTCATTAACACTGCACACATACACAGTCAAACGTATCTGAAGGTCTCTCTGAAGGATTCTGTGTATGGGAATCAGTGTGTGCTGTGCTAGTTGTGTGCATGCTGTAAACACCACATACGTATCTAAATCATCCTTCCTCTACCAATCATCAGTGTAAACGCTCTTTAAGGGATTTGCTGGTGTTCTTCTTCCCGGAGCTTTGAATGAGTCAAACAACCGATTCATCTTGAAATCGTAGTCGAGCAAACAGGAGGTGCAAATTTAAGACAGCAGAAGAATATGTTTTTCTCATGTCCGCATTTTATATTGTTTAGTTAACGGTGATCTAGTGATGTGTCATTACATGATAGCTGTATATCAATTATTGCAGAATCGCTGTTTCCACATATGATCATTATTGTGGCTTTTTATCGTGTATCATTAATGTCGTACCCCTTTTTTTCTCTCTGAAATTGTTCAATTAATTTTGGCAGTACCAAAATCCATTTCATTTCCATTTTTTGAATTCATTCTTAATTTTACTGTTGATTTCTAAGGCTGAAGATAGAAAGGTGAACATGTGAAATAGCTCGCTAGCTAGCGTGTACGAGACAGAATGAATGTATGTGTCGTGATTTGATACGTCAGTTTCAAAAAGAAAACACTTAGACTTACTTGAACAGAGTGCCGTGTAAGGATGTGTTCTCAGAGTGTGGCTCTTGACAGCCGTTCAGATTCTCTGGCTTCCCTCCCGAGTTATTTATCCTGGTTCAGCGTCCCTCATCATGTGGCTCTCTGAGGCGTCCGCTCAGCTGCCCGTCCTATTACAGAACATCATGCGGCCATTAGTCTGCAGGATGTGCTAAATTCTTACTCAAGCAAAGTGTGCTTGGCGAGAAGAGGCTCCTGCTGATATGTGTTTGCGTGTGAGTTTTTAGAGATTAACAACATGATTGAAATTGGTCTTGATTTTCAACTTTCATGCTTGTGAAGGCAGTCATGCACACACATAATCCCACCATCTCCTATGTCTCCTATTATCATGCACATGTGCACAGTCACATTCTGAAATAGGACCTCAGTGTCCAGAGCTATTGGTCATAAGCTGACCCAAAGTACCCTCTGAGTGATGGAAGTATTGCTAAACCATTAACCAACACTGGTACTTGGTTGTGTGTATAGTCAGTGTTTAAGATTTGAAGAAGCCGATGCCTTCTCTGTTGTCTCTTTAAGCTTTTCTAGGAGTAGAAGTCAGTCATGTTGTGTCAGATGTTTGTGATAATCCCATACGATTGGATAAATTCTCTGCGTGTGTCTGTGTGCTTACTGTCTGTCTGTTTATACGTGCATATCAAAATGTGTTGTGTCTGCTTGGCATTTGTGTGTGTGTCCTGTCTCTTCCAGGTACGGTCACTTCTCAGGTATCAACAGGAAAGTTCAGCTGACCTACCTGCGTAACGGCCAACCTAAAGCTTCAAGCGAAGAGGAAGGTAAGATACGTTTCAGTCCAGTATTTATAGAAACACTTGTTGCTTTTGATGGTGAGTGTGTAAATGATGTTCTGTGTTCCTTTTTGTATGAGTTTTTTAACATTATAATGGATGTAAAAATAAAGATGTTCAAGTATATGTTTGATAAAGATGTGAAGAACTGATTTTCCCTTAATGGACTTGAGCTTGTATGGTGCTTTTCTAGTCTTCTTTCTACTCAAAACGCTTTTACACGGCAGGTCACACCTCCACACTCACACACTGATGGCAGAGGATGCTATGTGAAGTGCCCATCAGTATTAACGCTAGTGTTGTAGTCAAGACAACACTAACCGAGACCAAGACATACCCCGAGACCAGAGTGCTCCGAGAACGAGACAAGACCAAGACCATAATAAAAATGACAAATCATCATCTTGTGTGCAGGGGGCGTGTCACTAACTTAGACCGTATCACTGGGAAGGTTTCGGCTGTAACTCAGGGAAATAAAAATCAAATTATGAATGAATTAAAGTTATTTGTTTTTTTCCTTCTAATCACAGTGATTAAAAAAGCCTGTTAGTGCTGGTCTTGACCCGTCTTGATTTAGAATCAGGAGTCTGCCCAGTCTGAGAAATGGCCGAGTAAAAATGCTTTTGATTTCGAGACGAGACCTTCAAAAAGTGTTCTCAAGGTCGGTCTTGAGTACGCTGTTACAGAATTACACCCTGAAAAAGGTTGTTAAAGAGTTTATTTTACTTTATTTGAAGTATTGCAGGTGAAGACAACTTTCAAGGTTTTTTATGTAAAGCTTTGCAAATAAAAGCTTAGAGAGAAAATGTCACATTTTATAGGCATGTGAATTTTGTAGAGTGACTTCTCATTTAAGTTTTAAACACGCTGCTTTTTTGTTTTCAGACTCTAAGAAGGACGGGCCGTCTCTGCTGCTTGTGTTGAAGTGGGGGGGCGAGCTGACACCTGCAGGCCGGGTTCAGGCCGAGGAGCTGGGCAGGGCCTTTCGCTGCATGTACCCAGGAGGTCAAGGTACCACTAACCTCTGGTCACACACGCACCCACATCAGTTAATAGTTTCACTCACGAGGGATCCTTTTACTTTGACTCTGATGTTCTTCCATAATGTAAAAGTTTAATATCTTTATTTATTTACTTGTTCTCAGAGAAGGTAGTTAGGTATCAGGTAGTTTTGGTCTGTTGAGGAAAACAAATGAGATTAACCAAACGTTTGACCAATGTGCGAAGTTTAGTTCTAAAAGTTATAGTAATTTAAAAAGTCCTAATAATATTTTCCAGGTTTTCTTTCAATAAAAGGAGCATATTCCCTGACTCTTTCCCCTGCAGGAAATTCACCTCTCAAACATGAAATATAAAATATTTGTCATTTTCTGTTCAGATACACACACACACACACACACACACACACACTAAAACCCATATGGTTATAACTTTATCTTTGAGCAGTTTCGGAGGGGAACTGTTGACAGCTCATTCTGTCCTCCCATGTGTGCCTGAGCTCATTGAAGTTTATTTCCAGCCTCTCATCAGTCACTCAGAGCGCTGCAGTGTGCAACGTCAACACCGCATTGCTGACATACGTCCTGTCAAAGGTGGAGGTTATTTTAGAGTCCACGAGCCAGACTTTCAGGCTTCTTGCAGCTAATAGATGTAAGAGTTGGTATGCAAACCATACATGCATATTTATAGAAGATAAAGTACAGTATATTATTTACCAACACTTCTCTTATTTCATCTTGATTAAGTTTTATGATTTGTACCTCAATAATACCTCAGATTTAGACAATCCATTAGACGAGGCTGCATATAGGTCACTGCAGCTGGTTTAACCAGTGAGAGAATGAAAGACACAGTTATTGTTTTTAATCATAAATAAATCAAGCACATCATTTTGAAGATCCTGTTTAAGTCTAAGAGATTGTTGGGACTGTCTTACCCTCACAAATAGTTAAAAAGTTAGATGGAAGTGAGTTGAGACTGAGCAAATTGCCAGAAACTGATGATGCCTCCACATTTTCCTCCCTAAGAGGTGGACGATTCAGAAATATTTAGTTCCTGGTTTTCAACATCTGCTTTTGAATCTATTTACTGGCTGATTACAGACGTGTGGATAGCAAACCATAACCCTCAAACTTTTGCCAAAGTAGTTTAAAGGAATGCAAAAAAAAAAAAGCTTATTTGAATGCTTAACAATTAAATAGAACCACGTCCCTTTGAAGTAATATTGCATGTTGAACAAGTGTATTTATATCTTTATTTACAGGAACAAAGTACATGAGCAGAAATCCAGTTCTCACTTGAACAAACGATGGCACTAAAAATACTGATAACTATGTATTTTTTGCTGATGCCACATTTGATATTGATATTAAAAATTGTACCTACACCATGGAACACAATATTGCTTGTGCTGTTGGTTACAGAGTTTTGGGGTTGATTCTAGGAAACCTGATCACACCCAGCTGTCATGTTGAGTGTTGCTTCTAGTTCACAAGACATAAATGTAGAAATCTATTTTCTGCATGCAATAAGGAGTGTGGAGTAAGTTCTTAAAAGGCCTATACACACAACCCTCTACACAGGGTGAGATGCAATGTTATCAGCAGACAAGTCTGTAGGTTACAAGAAGGTTTCTGTCTCTTATTTACCTTTCAAAACTTTTAACAGGTGTCATCTACAGGTTACTATTTTTTCAGGTTTCTTTACTTAATGCTTTGTTTTAGAGTGCATGCAAAACAACTCCCAAACTGCGCATCAAACCCACCGACAGCAGAACTGAAAGTTGATGCAGTCTGTCTCTTTGTCGCGTCTTTTCTTATGGAAACAAGGCCCCCCCTTTTCTCATCCTAGCCACTGTTTTCATACTTTTTTTTCCCTTCACAGTTTTGTCTATTAACTCTTCTCTTCTCTTCTTACCTGTTGTTGCACTGTGTAAACTACTAGCCGGTAACCGGCGGTCCCTTGGCTGTGAGTCCCCTATTGACTTTGGTAAGAGAAGGGTTTCCAGGATCTCACCGCTCGACCGCTCCTCTCTCATTCTGCGCGTCTTTCACTGCGCCCACTAACATGCTTTGAGCTCTCCTCTCATCTCATCATGATTTTTGTTTCATTTCACTTTGAGACGAGTCCAGCTTGTCCTACATTGAGATTGCTGTGGATTGTTTGTGTCGCCATTGATGTGTTCCCGAGGTGATCCTGCGTGGCAAATGTTGCTTTGGTAACTTGTTCACACAAACAAAGGAGGCAAAATTGACTGCAGTTTGTGATTGTAAGCTAACGCGGATCATCTCACACTAATCTTACTGCATTTTTTACCATGAACTCCTGGGACGTTGTTGTTTTGATAAAAACCAGTCGACATCCGACTGAATTTGAGACTAGAAAAAGTCCCATACATGTCCCAGAACACTCCAGTAATGTCAGGCTTTATAACATGAGTCTAAAATCTGACTATTTGGCTCGTCACTAAAGAAAAATGCATGAAGGATCAGTGTGAATTGGTCTGTTCTGTGGTATGCATCCACTCTACAGTTACATGAGTTAAAGTTCATTGAGCATGTTTGAAGCTCAAGATGACAATCTGAAGTGTATCGCTCTCTCTCCAGGGGAGCTGTCCACAGTAATCTTTGGGGTGTACTCAACATCTATTTGCTTCACTTTCACTTCATGTTTTTATCATCTTAAAAAAAATATTTTGAGTTAAATTGAAATGAGCAACTTCTAAAACTTGACGAGGACATTACATCTGAACTGAAAGTGACGTTGCACCAGCACCGGTGCTGAATCAGATGTGTTGCTTTTTGTGAATGAAAATGCTTGGTACTTTTGGGAACAATCAATAAAAGTTTTCTTTTTTTGTTTCTTTCCTGTAAACTACCTGCTCAACTCGACCATATATTAATCAAGGAGATAACAGTCGCGCGACATTGCTGTAACCAGTTAACCTCGATGCTCCGCTCTCTGTAGGGGACTATGCCGGGTTTCCAGGATGTGGCCTCCTGCGCCTGCACAGCACTTACCGCCATGACCTGAAGATTTATGCTTCTGATGAAGGAAGGGTGCAGATGACAGCAGCTGCTTTTGCAAAGGTAACTGTGCTCCTTTTCATGAACAAAAAAAGTTGTGACTTTGATTGAGTTGAGGACCTCAGACGGACCACAGGGACAGAATATCTCAGCCTCATGCTTAAAGTCTGCTTGGTCTTTCTGTGCCATAACTCAGTGGTAGATGCCAAAAAGAATAAACATCTGTGAATTTCTATCCTTATGTCATGTGCATCATTGAAAATAGTGATAATAGACATTAAAAGAAGTTAAAGAAGGCTTTCTTTCAAGGGAAACGCTCTCCTTTGAGGTTATGCAAGAAAAGAAAATATTCACATCTTGTTCTTTGTATTGTTACATCCACATGTTTTTCATACTGGAGTTTGCATAGTTGATTAGTAAGTATAATTACATGTTAACTGTTTGTGACATTTTTCTATTGATACAGCTGAAGTTGTTGTGAAGATAGAGCCTGACATACTGTGCTCTACTGAGATCTAAAATCTGGCCTGCATTGCAAATTATTCTTATTCTGTAATTATCTGACTAATAGCTTCTTGATTAATTTGTTTGTCAGTATTATGTTTACTTGCAAAGTCCAAACTAAAAAAATATTAAGATTTGAGCCATGAAAAGGTAGAAAATCTGGGAGCTGATAGCCTAGTGGTTATGTTGGCCGCCCCATGTACAGAGGCTATAGTCATCGTAGCTGAGGCTGTGGGTTAAATTTTGCGTCAGCCCTTTGCTCTCCTCCCAATACTTTCTGTCTCTCAGCTGTCCTATCTAATAAAGGCAAAAGGGCCCAAAAAATCTAAGAAAAATACAAATAAAAGGTAGAAAATCTTTACATATGACTTTTCTCTGGTCTCTCTGCAGGGGCTGCTGGCTCTAGAAGGTGAGCTGACTCCGATCCTGGTCCAGATGGTGAAGAGTGCCAACATGAACGGACTACTGGACAGCGACAGCGACTCTCTGACCGACTGCCAACAGAAGGTGAAGGCCGGGCTGCATGAAATCATGCAGAGGGACCAGGATTTCACAGAGGACGACTATCAGAAGGTATGTGGCAAACGTGTGAGCCAAAATGTAGAAAATCTTGATTTGATAAGATAACTCGTACAATGTGTTGTTTGTCTGTAAGTGTAAACAGTTCTTTATTCTTGAAATATTTCAGCTTTACAAAAGATTGTGAAAAAGAAGTTATGCAATTCTCTTTCCCATTGTGACATACTTTCCATAAATAGTAGTTGTGGACACGTTTGGCAATTGAGCTGAAACTGGCTGAGTAGTAAAAGATATAAATTGTCAGAAGTCAGTAAATGGTAAAATAAACTCCTTCCTTCTCTTAAGATTAAGATTTACTTTTATTGATCCCCGCAAGGTGGAAATTTCAGTTTGAACACACACATGCAGAAACAGGAGCCTATGGACATGCACTAATGGAGAGAAGCCAGAGTGACGGAGCGGCCCACGGCGGGCGCTCCTTAGCTGATGGTGGGGAGGGGGTTCGTGCCTTGCTCAGGGGCACCTCGGCAGTGCTCAGGAGGTGATCTGGCACCTCTCCAGCTACCAGACCAACTTCCATATTTGGTCCGCACCAGGACTTGAACCCGGCGACCCTCCGGTTCCCAACCCAAGTCCCTACAGACTGAGCTACTGCCGTCCAAAAAAACAGTGTCATCTCTGTTTGTCTTCTGATGTATGATTTCTATTAGAAGCTTCTTGTCATATTAGTGAATTAGTCTTAGCCTCTAATCAAAGTATTGTTCTTATTTAGAGCATCTGTCTAGTGTGAGAGAAATTTCTTCCAAAATAGGAGAATTTCTCGTTCTCTTAAAGAAATATGAACACGGTGTGATAGTCAAGCTCACAGTATCAACATATCAATGAAAAAAAATGTTTCAAATTGGGAAACCTCCTGTTGGTAGGTCATCAAAAGGACAGCTTAGAAAATCATGAAGGAAAAGCCAGTTTCACAAGGATTAGTTTGTCAAAATTCTCTCACACTAGAAGCTTGAATTTCTAACTTTGCCAAAATGAGTCCAGAATTTAAAAAAAAACTCTTTCCAATGCATGTAGTGGGGATTAGTTTATTAGAGAAGTCCTTCCTGAAAGCATTATTTGCTGTGTTGTGGAATCTCTTCCTTCTGTTTCCATTGCCTCCCAGTTGGCGCCTACTGGCAGCCCATCGCTGGTGAACTCGATGAAGGTCATCCAGAATCCAGTCAAAACCTGTGACAAGGTTTACGCCCTCATCCAGAGTCTTACCTCACAGATCCGAAAGAGGCTCGAGGACCCAAAGTCTGCAGGTAGTTTGAAGTTGTAACACCTGGCTCTCTACACGGGGTCAGGATTACAATAGAAGAAAAAATATCTCATCTGTGTTTAAGATACAAATGGTCAAATCTGCAATCAGGTGAAATGTCCTACATGTGTTTTATTACCAATATTACATGCTGATTGGTCCTCGTGTCCTTTTCCTCAGACTTGCAGCTTTACCACAGCGAGACACTGGAGCTGATGCTGCAGCGCTGGTCCAAACTGGAGAGAGACTTTCGCATGAAGAACGGACGCTACGACATCAGCAAGATCCCGGACATCTACGACTGCATCAAATACGACTCCCAGCACAACGCCTCTGTGGGACTGGAGGACACGCTGGAGCTGTTCAGACTGTCCCGTGCCCTGGCTGACATAGTCATACCACAGGTCAGTGGGGAATATTGTTATTAGGCTTTGCAGCACATTTCAGGGTGTTCTCAGGCTTTGCCTTGCATGGTCGAACTTTGAGAAGAGAGCAGGCTTTTTACTGCACACATTTGAAAGAAGGATTGGTTATTTTGTTGTAGTGGAATTTACTGGAAGATTTGTTTGCCAGAAAGGAAAAACGGAAAGTTAAATGATTTCCTAAGCCGTCCAGATTAGTCAGAGATGTTGACATCTGGGTCATGTAAGGCTTTCTGCACTTAGAGCAGCTGTGACTCAGTCGGTCGTCTCCCAAACGGAAGGTTGGTGGTTCGATCCCAAGCTCCTGCAGCTAACCCAGAATTGCTCCTGCAACGTTGGTGTATGAATGCATATGAGTGGGATTAGTTACTTCTGATAGTGACTCTACATAGCAGCCTCTGCCATCAGTGTGTGAATGTGTAGGTGTGACCTGCGGCGTAAACGAGCTTTGAGTAGTCAGAAGACTAGAAAAGAAATATACACGCTCAAGCACATTTACCTTTGACCATTAACTTAAATTAAAAAATGTATTGCTCCATATTGTGGTCATGAAACCAATCTCACTATGAACATTAAATCAAACTTTATTGATCCCTCTGGCAAGATTAAAGTGGCAATATAAAAGACAGTAAAAATCAAAATTCTCTATAAATTATGACTTAAAGAAGTTTTTTTGGAAAGTGTGTGTACTTTGGAAGTTTTTGACTTTTTAGATTTTCCATGAAGTCTCTAGTGCATGAATGTGTCACCTTTTTATCTGTCTTCACTGTGATGTGAGAGAGTTTGAGAAGTGCTCTGCATGTTTCCTCCCGCCCCGAGATATGCTCAGTTCAGACTCCATCTCCTCCTGACCGTGATAAGCAGATTAAAGAAGAGTGTGAAAGTTCAAACAGCCTGCCTTTCCTTTCGATTTCATCTCTACTAGGAGTATGGCATCACCAAAGCGGAGAAACTGGACATCGCTCAGGCTTACTGTGTCCCTCTGATGAAGAAGATCCAGCTGGACCTTCAGAGGACCCACGAGGACGAGGCCGTCAACAAGCTGCACCCCCTGTGAGAGACAAGCCGCTACAAAGCGCACACAAACGTGTTTACATGTATATATTTAGACTACATGCACATATACAGAGTGTGTTTGTGTACGTTCAGCCACCGTCAATGGTGCTGTGTTGACTGATTAAGCTCTGTGTCGTTTCCTGTCCACTCGTGTTCAGGTATTCTCGCGGTGTGATGTCTCCAGGTCGTCACGTCCGCACGCGTCTTTACTTCACCAGCGAGAGTCACGTTCACTCCCTGCTCAGCGTCTGCCGCTACGGAGGCCTGCTGGATGTATGCTCTCATTTATCATCTCTCTTTTCCTCTAAATCACAGAGTTTAATTTCTGTATGTCTTCTGATTGTGATTGGCTGGAATAAAAATATATCAACAGATTAATACTAGAACAAGTAGTTGCAACAGCTTCTAGTAGGTCAAACCCACATGTCCAATAAGGTGTTTGTGATGTAAATGAAATACAACACAAGATGGAAGGATAAATAGACTCATTTCCATTAGAAAGATCTTCCTAAATGTCATTGCAGTTTTTGCAGAATGATTAGGAAACTCCACTCAAGACTATTTTTAGCTGATTTTTTTCTTAGGATGACTTTTTAATAGCAACATTTGTGATTTCCCAACTAAGGCATGTTAGTATACAGTTATAAACAATCTCCCTAACAGCAATGAGCTGCACATTAACAGAGTTCTGCAATGATTCGGTGTAAGTAAGTAAGACTTTATTTATATAGCACTTTTAAAACACTTTTTGGGTTACATGAAGGCTTGTCTGCAATAGATCGTTGAACCACAAAAAGTGAGTTCTATGTTCATGAAAGTTTTGACACAGAATTAATACCTTGTTGTACATCATTATAAAGGTTATGAGTTAACTAAAATGTTGTTTCCATATGTCTACTGTGTGTGTGTGTCCATGTTTCGTGTTTATGTATCAGGAGGAGAAGGACCAGCAGTGGAAACAGGCGATGGATTATCTCAGTGCTGTGTCTGAACTCAACTACATGACGCAGATCGTCATCATGTTATACGAGGACAATAATAAGGTCAGAGCTGTGGAGAGCCAGAAGTCATTCTGTCATTTAATATTCTGTCGTTTCACTGCAGCTTTATGTAGAGCTGTCCTGATATCTCTCTGTGGTGTTCAGGACCCCTCGTCAGAGGAGCGCTTCCACGTTGAGCTTCACTTCAGTCCAGGAGTCAAAGGATGTGAAGACGAGGAGAACGTACCTCTCGGGTTTGGCTTCCGGCCAGCCTCATCGGAGGTGTGTGTCTGCTTCGTTTCTCTGTCTGATGTCATTTCATGGTCCTCAGTGTGCAGAATTCTTCTTTAATATTTAGAGAACGAGCGACTCAGATAAAGTAGAATGTCCACTTACATTGCTTTGCTGGATATGTCTGACAAAATACAAAGATAAATCAGCCACTTTCTTTTTAATGCACAAGAGGATGCGTAAAATTGCTGATCTGTATCTGGAATGAGATGAATACTTTAGGCAGTTATCGCTGTATTTTAGTGGTCATCTGGGCTGCCTGTCTGACACTCTGCCATTTTTTTGGGAGAATTGACAGTGCAGGGCTGGACCTGAATAAAACAAAAGCTCCCTTGTTGATAAGTTGTTAATTTGAATTACTACCAGAGGGGACTTTACTTCTTCTTTGCTCTGCTGACATGCATCCCAAGTTTAGCCGTGCTACATTGTTGCAAAGGTAAAATAATTCATCATTAATATTCCTCCACTTCTTTTCCATATTTTACAAAGGTTCAACCTGGAATTTGATTTGACATACCAGTCATCTTTGTTTCACAAACAAGAGCAGTCCGTAAAGCACACAGCTGCTGGATGTACAAGACAAACTGAGATGTTTGGTTAGACCTGAACTTAGTTTTCAAAGTAAAATACAATAGACAGAATCAGAATCAGCTTTATTGGCCATGCCTGCTTACACACACGAGGAATCTGTCTTCAGTGAGCTGAGCTTTCAATGTACAAAACGTTTAACATTAAATATAAACTTAAAATAAGCAAAGGCTAATATATGCAAGGCTAAAAACTCAAACAGATATAACATGGACATAGTCTCAGTGCCATCACCCTTTGGTTTCTTAAGCAGAGATTTGAAGCCTAACGATTGGTCGCCATATTGGAAATGCTATCTCCCTCTATCTTTTAGAGATGTGTCAATGAGAAACAAGCCGGCTCTGTTATGTGAACGTCTGGATCCGGCTCCGGTTTGAAAACTGGTTCCCTCTTTATGTTGTTGTTTATTACATATTAGAAAAAAGGGATGACAGGTGGGTTTCCTTGTCTGTGCATCTGCATGAGTCTCCATGAAAATAATACATATTTAAAAAATGTCCAATTTGTGCTCTCTTGATAATCAGAATGAAGACAAGAAGCCCAATCAGGGCAGCCTGGAGGACCTCTGCCAGGACCAGACAGACCAGGCAATCCCTATCTCTGAGCCAATCAACATTCAGCGAAGATCCCCCATGATACGCAGCCGCAAGACGGGCTCTATGGAGGTGCCAGGATATAGTATTGTTTTTTTCATGAAGCAATGCTAGAAATATGAAACTAGACTGGGTGTTTCTTTGTATTTTCTGCTTTAGTGCTTCTTTAGTTTAGTGTTGTCTTGTTCTTTAATGTCAAAAGTGTCATGGTTATAAGTGAATGGGAAACTTCAGATCCCTGATTTTCAGTAGCAGCCGTCTCACTCTTAACCCCCTGGTCTTCATGGCCCCGCTCAGGTCCTCTCTGAGACCTCCCCCACCCAGTCCACCAAAGGCTGCACCTCCCACCGACTCTTCCCCTCCGTGTCGCGCCAGTCTCCTGAGATCAAACCAACCAGTGGCCTAGGTGGGCACCTCATTCCTGGTGTGTGTGAGTGTGTGTGTGTGTGTTTTCTGAATATGTGTGTGTGTGTGGAGAGAGATAGTTTATGCCAACAGACACACTGACCTCCCAACACATTTATCTCCAGCTGTCATCACTGATCTTCCCCTTCATCCCAAGCTCCCACTGTGACTTCTCCCACACCCTCTCCTACCTTTCCATGTCTCCCCTTTTATTCCTTTATCTGTTTTTCTTTCCTTTTTGTTTCTTTCCATCAACCCCGCCTCTCTCTCTCTCTCTCTCTCTCTCTCTCTCTCTCTCTCTCTCTCTCTCTCTCTCTCTTTCTGACTGTCACATAGCTTCCACCTCAGCTTAGCAGACGCCAAACAGGGTCAGACTTCAAACTATGCAGGTGAGAGGTCAGCGGGGACAGATGCGTTCACGGCCAGCTGCAGGCTCTCTGGTGTCACGTAGCGTTCAGGGACATGCAGATATCCCTGTTAGGTGATAAAGCGACAACAGAGAGGACATATTGTCCCTGTTTTTATCTTTATTTCTGATGTATCTGCAGGAAATAAAACCGACTGAATCACTGATGAATGTCAATTTATCTTAAAGTAAATGATATGATAATAATAATACTTAAATGCAGAAAAAAATGAAATTACCCAAAGCTATAATCCGTTAATAAGCTATTTATTTGCAGCGTTCTAGCCGTCTACATGCACTGCAGTTTAACTAGCTTTTGTTTCTGTGTGGTTACACCTTAACTATGATGAAACCATCCACCAATTATTTTATAAATATCTTACAGGTTGTGCTGAATTAGTTTACTGGCAGAACTTTGCGCGGAAACTTGAACAGCTTAAACTTATTTAAATGTGTTTTAAAGTTAGGTCAACCTCTACCCTAGTGGAAAAAAACCCTTGAAGGACTCCTGTATCGCTGTGTGCACTGTTTCCACTTCTCCTCCAAGAACCCGCTAACACAAGCATGAAAGCTTGCCGTCTAATTCCAGATGTGTGGAGGAAACCATAAAACCATTAGTGTGAGAACAGGGAGAGGAGTCACTGTGTGGAAACAATTTCTGTCACATGACGTGTGCTTTGAACCAATCTCAAATGAAACTACCTCCGTACTCACAGACAAGTATTCAGTACAGTAGAAAAAGTAGACAATCGACAACTAGACTGAATAGATTTGTGCAGGAGTGTGGACATTTATTTTAAATCATATTCACATTTAAAACCCTTTTAAACAGTTTAATAGTAATATCAGGAGGGCAAAACAACACAAGAAAAGAGCAGGAAAAAGAGCAGCGTGTGGCGCAGCGCTATATCTGACCTAATGTGCTAATCAGCCTGTCACTCACTGCTTAATTAGAGCGAATCTTAATGCAGCGGTTGCTTCTGTGTTTGTGCAACATCAAAGGAGCTCCATGTAAAGCCTCTGGGTATTCTCTCAGTGGAGCCTGTTGAGTGTAGTAAGTGTGAGGCCGCTGAGTGATCCCTGTCTGTTCATCACCAACACCAACCACAGTAGCTGCACAGTTCACATACAAGAGCGTCAGGTGTCAGGGACGACCTCTCTGCTTCTCATACCCTCATACTGTTTATAGAACAAAGACATGAAGAGCAAACAATCACACTGTTTTAATGTTTTTGTTCTCTGCAATCAGCTAACATATGCATTGTGTGTAAACTCGATATTGATTAAGAATGAAATATATTAGAATTGGCTGAAAACTTTAAAGAGTCCATGCACAACAGTAGTCTTAAACAATCCCTTTTCCACCCACTGTGGGGTTTTGTCTCGTCTCTGCTGCTTCCTGCTTACAAAACACACTTTTAGTATGAACTGATGCACCTTTGTTTACACATACACACTCTTAATGTACACATGCATAGGTCTCGCACACTGTTGTGAAAACCCTGTAGCATGTTTCCATTTCCAGGCAAAGCTCCTGGCTTTTTTTTTTTTCTTTCAAAATGTTGCAACAAATCATTTTTTGACTCTTTTAACTTTAATAATAAACGACATAATTTAAAAAATGGAAATGGCTGAAGTTACAGAGTTTTCAAACAGGTGTACATTTTTTTTAAATGTACAGACACTCATGTCAGAGTCTGCTCATAGCAACAGTTTGTTATGAATAATGGCATGGTGTGTATTAAAAACTAACCCTCACCCCACACACCCCTCCCCCCCACCCCGGCTCCTCCCTCACACAGGCTCGCTCTGCTCTGGGCTCTTCAGTGCCTCCGCCCTTGGGGTGTCCTGTAGCGCCCCCAACCTGCGGGACTACGTCCGCACGCACCACCACCACCGAAAACCACCTCTGTCCCCCGGCAGCCTGCCGTGCCAGATTGGCATGTTTGGTATGTTCACACACAAGGCGGGACATTTCATCTCCTGTCTCTTTTGTGGAGGTCCCCAAGCTCTCTTTCTGACTTGAAAAAAAAATTAAATCTTTTTTCTTCTTATTTTTGCAACTTTAAGCTTTTAATGAGATTTATTGGGCATTCTGTATTTGTCACTTTTTAAAAATCAAAGTGACCTTTTTTATGCTTTGTTTTCCAAAATGATCGAGTAATTTCAATCTGTTGCATCACCTTTCCTGAGTGATTTATTATGCATAATAAGGGCACTGATTTGACAGCAGAGTGATTAGCTGTGCAGCTATTGCTGAGCATGCAGCCTCACAGCACATTGAACTGTGTGGTATCCTGCAGCAATCGGTGATCAATGTTCCCTTCAGATCAGCACGTCCACTCTCTGATAACACCACCGTCTGCTTGGGTTTGAATGAGTTGAAGTGTTCTCTCTCTCTGTGCATGTTGTTTTGCAGATCGCACCACATCCTCTCTCTGGGAATTTAATTTCGTAATCCTCAGTAAAGTAATTTTTGTGTCTGGAAGCCAGAAGTCTGGCTGTCTTCATTAATCACTATTTACGGTAATCCTTACATTAAGAAACTCAGCCGGTTATTTGGAACAGAAATACTTTCACCACTCAGTAATCCACCTTTAAATAATCCCCAGTCGCATTCCTCCTCCACACAATTTTCCCTCAGTCTCATGTTGGTAATGGTGAGTACAGGCAGGTTGTTTTTGCAGCCACCAGGGGTCCTTCGAGCAGGTTGATTCATCTCATACATTTGGATTAAATGCCATTCAAAGCCGTTATCTCATAATTTTCTTTTATGCTTTCCAAAGATATATATGACACATCCTCAGGTGAAGTCAGCAGCAGCAGATACATTTATTTGGATGCATTTGGATCTTCAAAGCTGCAGGGATTTCTTATTCCCACTGTAGGTTTTAAAAACACGAAACTGAGCTGTTCAGTTCATCCACCGGGTGTCACTCTGTGAGTGCGAGTTTACTTTGTGCCAGCAGGTAACAGATGCTTTCTTTCTCATTTGTGTTACATCATGTTCAGCTCTCTGAGACACAGGTGAGGGTTTGGATTGACGTCAACTCTGTTCATTTGAAGGAAGAGGAGGTGGAATCAGGACAAATGTTTTATTAATTTTACTGGAAAAGGGAATGAATGAGTGCTACAGTACTACTGTCAATTTAAAAATGAATTAATTAGATTTTTCTGAACTCTCTTAATAATTTATCATTATAATGTATACTTAAGTGGATATTCTTGCAGCCAGGAAAAGGGACAAAGCTCAAACATTTTTTGCATTTCTACTGTTATCGCCTAAAGGAACCTACCTGTAAGATTTAGGTAACTAATGACCAAAATGGAAAATAATATGTATTAAAGTGGATTAATAAGTGTATGATCCCATATAAAAGGTGTTTTGTTATCTTAAGTTGAGCCATTCCACTTACAGAGTCCTTCATGTTTAACTGCCACGTTTCCTACTGCAGTTTGAGAGAAGCTGTCTTCAGTATCTCAGCGCTACATGCCACTAAATCCATGCACTGGTTCTTTAAATTTCAGGGGCTAGTTTTACCATGTAATTCATGACATCAAAGCAGTTGTGAGGAAGTTATTTGGCCTTTGCCTTAAGTGGAGAAGACGTTGCATAGAGTCTTGAATGTTGTCAGAGAGCATGTAGATGACATGCAGCAAAGAGCGGAGGGGTCAGAGTCGAGGCTGAGGTCACTGAGTAGAGTGTGATCCCGTGTTCAAGGGGAGATGGGCTTATTGAGCGCTAAGCTAACTGCTGCGTGAAGTTGTTTTTTGTTTTTTTTACCATTCATGGGAGATCAAGTAACTGCCCATTTACAATTAGAACGGCAGCGTCTTACAGCCAATAGTATCCCTTTCACTGATCTCATAGCATCTACAGTATTATACTGTAAACAATATCAGGAAGCTTTTAGTGAAATGGTTCTTAGAATCACAGACGCATTGTAGAGCATTTAAATGAAAAAAAGTCAAATATTTTCAGGAAGAGGTTGGTGAGGAGACCTAAAAGAGAGCTAAAAGAAGAGAGTTTATAAAATGGTATGACCCAGGGGTCTGTGCCAAGACACATGATTTTTAGTTCGTTTTCAGTAGTTCGTAGGGGGTTAATTTCTTACGGGGTTAGATCGTTGCAGTGATGAACACCTAACCTGTAATGAAGCAGGATATGTCTGGGTAGAGATCAAACTGTAGAGAGAAAGTGGCAAACTGTTACATACAGTCTAGATTTCACATTTAAAATCTGTAAAAAAAAATTTATTGTTGGAATCAAGCAAACAAAAAAAACAGTCCATGTGTGAACTTCAGAGGTATAAATACAGATTTGTACCTCTTACATTACAACAGAGCCAGGCCGGCTATCACCCTGTGTCCACATGTAAGGGCAAATCAGGCTCACCCGCTACTGTGTGTAGCCTCATGCGTACCCTACAGCCGTAGGACGACTTACATTTTAACAGTTTCCTCATCTAACTCACAGCAAGACAGCAAGTGAGTGTCTAGAAAAGAGTCCAATGATAGAAAGAAAAGGGAGGTGGGATTCAGAGTCCAGCATCATTCCTCTTGCATGTTACCTGTTCATAGAAAACATCTATTACTTACCTCATCCCCTCTTCAACCTTTCCATTCACTTTCTCTGTCTATCTCCTCTTTGTTTGTTCAGCGATGACCCTCATTTTCACGCACGTTGGTTGGCAGATGGATATTGATGTATCGACAGGCCAACTCTCTCTCTCATCCTGTTTTTCTTTCTCTCTTTTTTTTTTGTTTTACCTCTTATTTCGATCTTGTACAACCAAACAGGCTGGCAGACACAGGAACCAGCAGTCCCAGTAACACCAGTTACCTTTCTTATCTCCTCAGAGCTGTTCTCTATGCCTCCAGTAAAGAGATTTTCTGTGTCGTTTGCCAGGCATCCGACCAATGGTATGTCTGCTTTTATTCAAGTTTATTTCGAAACTCCTCCAGTTTTTTCCTGTTTATTTTGCATGACCTTTATGTTGGGAAAACATTTCATGTGTTTTCTATTTTTATTTGGCGTTTGACTGCGTTAATTACATTAAACGTCTCCCAGATTAAAATGACCCAAATTGAAAAGAGTTTCTGTTTCACCGCACACTTTTCGGTGTTTGTTGTTCCTTGTGTTGATTTTGGCCTTCACACCTCTAACACCACCTGCTCTGCCTGCATCTGTTTTAATTTGCCTCCCTGATCCCGCTGTTCTCTACGGGTTGGTTTCACATTGAATATGTGGATTACAACTTTACCTTTTATTAATCATCATCAATGATATATCACTATGGGAATGTAATCAAATCTTTTTACACATCATACATTATCCTCACCAGCACTCTTTGTTCTTTGTTTAAATCGGGAACTTGTTTCAAAATCTGACAGAGATGAACTTTGCTGTTTGTGTTGTGATTTAATTATTTGTTTACGGTTTCTCAACTTTGTAGCCACACACACAAAAGGAGTGGTGTGTTTTGAAATGAAATTATTCATTTAAAAAAAATCACATGCAGTTGCTAAATGGATGCAACAATACAGTCAGCCCATGGTTCAATAAGTACCTCTTTTTTTTTTTTTTGGTCACAGTTTTCAGTTAGATTCTGACGGCCCGGGTGTAGGAGTGGGTTTGTTTTGTGTTGGTATTCCATTGTTAGATGTTTTTGGCTAATTTTACAGGAACAGCAAGGGGTTAAGAAAAAGGCTATTTTTTTTAATTCCAAATCTATTTATACACTTTCCAAGTGTGTGTGGTATCGTCTCAGTAACAAAAACCCAGCGTTTAAGTAGTGCCAGGTTTAAAGATTTGGATGAGTGGCTCAGAAACGTGTCTGGGTTATGCTGTCTGTACACGAGACGTCACATGCTGTTCAGGGTCATCTGTTGTGTTGAGACAGAGTGATGAACAGCATCAACATAATCCAGACATCTGGTTAGCAATATTGGGCTCACATCTATCAGAGGTTCAGGAATACAATTTCAGATCACTGACCCTTGATGTGAGTCTTCTGGATGCACACATTAGCAAGAGATTGAAAAGTATATTCTCCACAGCAACTTTAAAGGTGATGTTGATATTACAGCATGTTTTCAATAACCTCTAATCCCCAAAGAAAATCACTTATTGCTCGTTTTAGGATTTTTGGCACTTCAGGCAATGTTGGTGTTTTATAACAAATAAACAAGCAAAAATGTCCACAAAACATTTGCATCATGATGAGACCGGAGTCTTTGGGCCTCTGGAAAGAGTTTTGGGCTTCAGGGCTGTTGTGTCATCAGTCGAGCCCTGCGATGGTTTGGTGCCCTGAATCTTAAACACTATTTACTTTTTTTGAGAGATTGTTTATGTGTCCCTTTAAAGGAAGAATGTGCAACGTTTTGATCCAGTAGATGTCGCCCTAGAACACCAGCATGAAACCAAAACAAACTGCTATTTGGCAACACCTCCGCTATTCTGAACCCTCTGCTCTCCTCCAGCAGCAAACCTCCAACCCCTCTCCACTCACGTTCGCACGAAGGAGTTATGAATTAGAACGCACCATAATTAAGCATCATTTAGAGCAAGCGGCCAACAAAATTGTCCTTTGCTTGAGCTGCAATTGCCTTTGGCCTGCATAGTTGTGTTAGCAGGCTAATGCTAGCACACTTTGGTTTACTCATAGCTACATGTTGTACATAAATTGACACAGAATGACCAAGATCTGAAGACACTCACGTGGCATCCAAATAAGCAGTGAGTATGTTATTCTTCTTTTCTCTAGTCCTTGACTAAAACAGCTTTATACACAAGGCCGTCCAGTCCATGTAAACATGTACACACAGCTTTGACAACAACACAGCCAGCAGGACTCAGGCTTCTCACTCATTGTCTATGACTCAGAGAGACATTTAAAGAGGAGTTCTTGATTTCTGTTCTATGTGTAAATGTTGCAAGATTGTCAAATTAGTTTATACTTTTTAATACAATGTGTTTAAAACAATACAATCTCCATTATTTTAATGATCGATGGTATCGAAAAAAAAAAACAAAGCTTTAAAAAAGACATTTTGAGTTTTTTTCCCCACAAGTCTCCAAACACTGATCTTAACATTTAATAACAGCCCTGCTATGTGTGATGGGGAGTACACAGCTTTTCTGAATTGTGTTCTTGAAATAATATTGACAAATCTTTGGTCCACGTTGTCTCTGATGTGTTCTCGCTGAATCCTTTTTAACCTGTGCTCATAGATTATTGACTGATATTGACCGCTGCGGCCTTCATGTAACCTCAGCTAGTCTGCTTATTTTTTGTTAGAACTTAGTGTGCTTTGAAATGGAAAAAAAAAGAGGGATTGTGGCGATTTGGTTGTTGAGGGTGACTCATACTGATGTGCTAAGGCCAAAAGTTCACAGAGAAAAAGACCTGCATTGATTTAATTAAAGATCGAAACAAATGCACTTTCTATACAGACAACCGGCTCAGTCTCCTGAAGCCACACTGCTCTTTCCGCTTCTGTCACTCCTCGCTCTCCTCCTGCTGCTCCACTGTTTTCCTCCTCTCTCCCTGCTCTGCCTCTCGTCCTTCAGAGCCCTCAGATGAGCTCCGCGTAGTCCAGCTGCCGGGGTGGCTTCTTCCCGCTGAGCCAGCCCTGCCGGGGTTTGTCCCTCTGGCTGTGGACGGGGCCACGGCCCACCACCTACGCCACTGTCCCTACCACCTCCGCCTCCTCAAGACCTGGCTGATGTCTGGTCAGGAGCTGCCAGAATCCCTGCACGGTCAGGCTCTGTAGATCCGACTCAGCTGCTGTTGCTTCCCTCTGGCTCTAGTGTTTGAGCTAGTGGGACCCTGTTACTGCGGGTTGAGCTTTGCTTACTGTGGTCTGGTTTGCTGCCTGTGCTTTCATCCTGTCCTGTATTCTGTCAGTCACATTGCAGGTCTGCTCTGTTTCATGTCCAATGGAAAACTTGGTCCAATTTTTTTCTTAACATTTCTGCTAGAGGGTGCAAACACTGGCTTTGAAAGCAGGAAATGTACTTTTCTCCTGCAAACTTCAACTCACAGTGAAACTGCAGGTTACCTTCAGCTTCCATCATATGCACATTTACAAGTGGAACTGAATCTGTTTGGAGTTTAAATTCTGAGACAGTTTTGATGAAAGGGTTTGAGGTTCAGTGAAGGAACCATCACACAACATTGGCGCCGATTAGAGTCGCCACAATACCAGAAATCCAATACAAGTCCTAGTTGCCAAATGTTGTGTAATTCCTTGTTTTTAATCACCAAAAAAATGCAGTTGAACTCCAACACCCTGTCTCTAATGCAGTTCAAAACGTTGCACATGTAGTTGTGAAATTCAGACTCTCTGTCTTTTGCTTGTTGCATCTTTCGGTTACTAATATGACTGAAGAGGCGCCGAATAGGCTAGCAGTTCTGTCTTGCACCCCATGTACAGAGGCTATAGTCCTCATCGCAGCGGCCATGGGTTTGAATCTGACCTGGGCCCTTTGATGCATGTCATCCCCCACTCTCTCATCCCAACATTTCCTGTCTCTCTTCAGCTGTCCTATACAATAAAAGCTAAAATTGCCCAAAAATATAACACTTTTTTTTTTAAAGCTTCTGTACTTAACGATACTATCAATCATAAAAATAACAACTTTGTATCGTTTAAAACATGTGGTATTGAAAAGTATTGGACATTTAGACAAACTTAGTCCTAACTTTACCCGCCCACCTGTGTTGTTGCTAGGAATAGTAATTACTAAGTTTTTTTATTGATTCAAATGATTTTTTTCTCTGTTGAAAAACTAAACCTACAAAGGGTTTGAAGATGGAGGAGTTTATCTTGTTGTAGCCTGAGAGCTAGCTGTGGAATTTTCTGTCATCATCTTCACTATCTCAAAGAAACGGATACTTACCTTGAAAGGAGGTTCAGAGGCTTAGGATTCTGCTTCACATGGACTAAATGTACCTACCGGTACATGTTACATCAGTGTGACGAGAATGATGGAGAAACAGTGAAATCAGAAGTTAATATTCTGGAGGTAATCAGTTTTTGCAAAATATCATGAAAACTCAGGATATACAGCACACTTGGTCTCAATAGTATGTTTAATACAATGGTTTTACTTATTAGTGGATGTATTGTCTGCTATGTTGGTCTGTCTTATAGTTCTGTGTTGGGATATTCTGTTCTGGTTTCAGGGTCCAAGCTTGTCAGTGGTTAACTGCACACCTACTTAAAAAGACGGGTTAGCAAGTCAGCCTACATGTACAAGCATATAAGCTAGTTTTTGATTTCATATGGTCATATATTTACATGAAGAGAGAGGGTGAAGAACAGTAAACAGGTACATGTCGTAAAACTTGAAACTTTATTTCAATGTGTCTTTAAGTCCTGAAGTCTGTTTTGCCTTCAGCCCGTCTTTAGCACGTTTATGAACGTGTGCTGCACTTTATCCGGACATAAAAAAAAAGCTACTTTAGAGAGCGAGCTCTAATCACTTTAAAAATACTTATTTTTCTCAATTTCTATTGAAGCATCTCTGCACAAGGAGGACTAATTGCTCTACATGCATGCTGGGTGGAGACTTGACGACCAGCAAAACTAACTCTTCTGTTTAAAGGATTTTTAGCTTGTCTCACTGCATTGTGTACTTACCCCATCCTGAGCAGTGTACAGACAGAATGCCTTAAAACTTGACATTTGTTGTAATGAGGTCTGTAGAAAAGAGTCAGATGTTGATGGCACCAATTTATCCCTCACACCAGGAGGGTCACGACTGGGCACTGCTGTCTCCCTCGAGGCTCCAGAAATATGTTCCCTCACCGAAAGGCAGATACTCGAGCGTCTGCTGAAAGATCTGGGTCATCGTCTCAGTCTTCATTTGAATTGGCTTATTAAGTGGTTTCTTGTTCATAAACTGGTGATTAAGTAAAGCGTTTCATGAGCACGTCTTGGCACAAATGTCACCTTAACTGACCTACGCAATTATCCTTCTGCTTTAAGCAGAAATTAGTGTGTGATAAGATACAGAATTTTTTATTTTGCAGCTAGTATCTCAAGATGTTTTTTTTGGCTAGGTCATGTTGACTTTGATGTTTCTTTGTTATTCTCTATTTAAGCATCACTGTCTTCTCTTTGCCATCCTGCTGTCTTTGTGTTCAGATGTGTTGGTGAATGGTTGAGTGAGTGGTGCAGTGAAGCATCAGTGTTTTCAGCTCCTGCTGCATCTGGTGTGTGAGCTGAATTTGATATCCATGTGAAGAGGCTGCAGCAGAGATAGGGGAGGAGAAAGAGGCAATAAATGCCATCTTATGTCATTTTTAAACCACTCTTACTTTAGAGCGCAGTAACGAAAGAAACAGAGAACAGTTGGAGGTGAGGATTAATGTCAGCTAACAAATGTAAAGCGTGAGATCAAAGTCTGCTGAGCCACCTAAACACTTTATCCTGAGGCTTTGTATTATCAATTTATGCCAGGCAGATATGTTTTTTTTTGTCATCAAAGACTTGGAAGGAAGAGCTTTAACATTAACAGCCATCTTATCTTTTCTAATGAATGAAGCTGATTTGGCCAGCATCCAGTTTGCAAAATATCTGATGTTGGATCATAAAATACAGCCCCTAACTGCAGCTGTATGTGTTGTTTTTGTGTTGTAATGTGTTCTGTCTTTGCAGTTTTCCATTATGTTCTTGTATATATCATGTAATTGTGTTAATGTACAAGATGAACGAAGAAATGTCCTGCTGATAGTTGTGGATTTAAAACAGAATGACAGAAGGAAAGTCAGCAACCTCAAGTGTTGAAGGAAGAAGCCAATGTGGAATGTTAAAAAACTGCAGTTCCTTGAGTGTCCACTTGAGGCAGGCTCCGAAAACCCAAGAATCCCCATTAGATCCCATTTTAAAATGCTAATTTCTTTAAAGATTTATTTTTGGGCTTTTTGTGCCTTTATTGGAGACAAAGGACATTGGATAGAGTCAGATATTAGGGACAGAGAGAGTGGGATATTACATAAGGGAAAACCACAGGTCGGACTTTAACCCGGGCCACCGGGAATAAAAGCCTTTGTACATTGGGCGCACACCCTAACAACTCGACCAACAGCACCACTAAAATACAAATTTTGACAGCAGAATCAAACGTGTACAGCCTGTGAAAAAACTGTGTAGCTCATTTTTATTATTTGTAAAAAATGTACTGGGTAAATGTTCTGATACCCCACCGGTTTTGATAATATATTAAGGCTAAGAGTAAGGGGCATGGCTGACTCGAATGATAGGCAGGCACGTTGTAGCTATTTGCCAAGAGGCTAGCCATAGCTTCATCTTAATCCTGTTAATGACCTTAAACTGTCGGCTCCATTTGTGTCGTCTTCATCGTTAGGAATATGCTAGCTAGATTACGAATTAGATTAGCAAGTTTTGCGTTGATATTCATTCAGCCTGCTTTAGCTCCGCCTCTTTGCGTTCTTCTTGGTTTACAGGAAATTAGTTGGAGTCATCGATTCCAATTTTGGGACCGGGCTTAATAACGCTTCTTCAGAAATCAATGGGTGACACCACTGAGACTATGTCCGTGTTTAAAACAGTCCATGGATAACCCTCAAACAATCCATAATTTACCTGATGTATACGTGGTTTGAGTATGAGCTGCACATGATTGATCCCATGAGAAGCATTAACACAGAATAACTCTGCTGAAACGTATCTGAGAAAATTATCAGCAGGGGAAATTTAGGCCTTGAGTGGTTTGTGTACAGTAAGTGCTGACTGCAGTTTGTTCTGCTTGTGTCGTTGTGTTGGACATGTTGTTTAAGGGGGTTGGAAAGATGTGAAGTCACAGCACATTAATCATGGAGAAATGCAAGGCTGACCAGCATGCTCTGGGGATATGGATGCACTGGAGGCTCCATCCATTTTCCTTTTCTTTTTTTAATATATGTTGTCGCTCTATTGTGGTCATGGTGTTTTGTGTGTGTGTGTGTCAGTGTGGCTGCATTGTATGGCACTGGTTTGCATGCCATGGCATTGTTGTGTTTGTGTTTAGAGATTGTGATGGTTTGCACCCACACTTTTCTTTCAGTGATTTTATGACAGGAAACTTTTCAGCTGACCTAGAAACATCAGATAACAGTCTTGAAAGTCTGTAAAGCAAAAATAACTGGTCTCTAAACACACTTTATATGTTGGAAAGAAGTTACTGTAAACCTGAATATAATGAGCATTATGTTTGACTGAATTATTGGACCGCTTGAACGCTTTTCATCACTTTAAGGTTCAGGTTTTTGGGGGGCGGGGCCACATTTGAGGAAGGATAATGCTGCATTCATGTGCTGCTCTGGTGGTCCAAGTTTCCGAGTTGGGGAGTCGGTCTTCCGACTTCAGTGTGTTCACATGATTTCAGTTCGGAAAGACAGAATGTTGTAACAACAGCGAAAAAACAGCGTTGATGCTACGAAAAAGATGAGTGGAATTTAACCGTTACAAGTTATATTTGAGGAAAAAGTTGATGTGCAGTACGTGAATTAAATTAAGTACTTTGACATTAACAAAACATATTTTGCCCCCCAAGTGATTAAGATTCTGACGTCAAGTCTGCGTCTAATTCTTTTCCGAGTTGAGCAGGTGTTCATTTGCATTTTACAACTCGGAAACTCGTTTTTTCGATATATATGAAACCACATGAATGCACCACAAGGCATTAGGGTTCCTTAGCGTAATCCCGCCTCCCTAGCGCTGCAACAATATATAAAACCACTGAGCTCTTCAACATCTTCCGTTCTCTCGCTCACTCAAGTTATTAAAAGTTTCCTTAATACAGTCTACAGTGTTTTTAGCTAGTTAGTAGCTTTGCATTCATTCTACAAGTGCATCTTCCTTGGATGCCAGAATTTGAAGAATTTCAGTTTCAGTTGAAAGAGCAGAGATTACTGATACATTTTTTTTTACAATTTTGAAAAAAACAATTTTATCAGTTACATTTGTCCTGGTGGTTAATCACAGCATCTTTTGTTGTATTAAAAACTTAAAATATGTTTTTCTTTTATTGCTTTACATGGAATTCAAAAATTAAAACAATATATAAAAATTCAAAGGGGAAATAAATATTGATATATGGAGATGCATTTACACAACATGTTACTCTACAATCATACACTGTAAAACACAACACCAGAAGTTATACTAATGGGTTCACCTGCAGTGATCCAGTAAAGGTAAAGGGCCGGTACGTTTGACTGAGGGTTGTTCTAATGTAATACATTTGGAATTGAATACTTAAATTGGAATTACAATCATGGTGTTTGTTAGACTAGAATAAACTTTCCTGAATTTAAAAACAATGCTATAAAGAGGATTCTTACAGTGGGTATGTTTCGCTGCATGTTTTGCGGTCGCCTTCAGTTGTCCTTTAAGCTTGAACGTGGAGGGTGAGGGTGCGATCAGGTGGTTGTAGTCTTATTGGAAAACCTCATGACATCATTTACTCTGTTCCTTTAAGGAGTTATTATAAATATGTCGCCCACCTTATCATGAACATCTCTTTTGTCTTGCTCAAGGACTCTTCCTCAGGCCAGGTTATTGTAGCTTGGTGCTTTATTTTACAATCTGTGCTGATGGGATGATGGCGTCGTTGTTTCTTCCAGGGGTGAACTGGAGGCAGAAATCTGTAGGGGTCTGAAAAACTCAGATTTTGGGCTAAGATTTTTTTTTTTTACATATTGAGCATTTTGAAAAATAAAAATGATGCATATTTTTTCTTTATGGTAAATGATGAAACGACACTTTTGTATTTCTCTATTTTGGCAGCACCATGTTAATAATTTCTTAGATTTTCCATTTGAACTTAATGCATCCCCTTATATACTCCGCTCTCTTTCATAAGGAAATCCACAGTATGATCATCCAGGGAACACATAACAGATCATTAATTATACAAGTCGTGTGCTTCACTTCTAAGTTTAACAATCACCTACAATGAAAGGTCATCTTTTGTTTACATCAGAGTTAATTGATCCAAGTCGTACTGTATACATTTATTAAGCAGAGGAACCAGTTTTTGTCTGTATGGCGTCACTAACACAAGAACATCAACCCCCAGGAGTCATCTTTGATTTTGTTTTTCACATCAAGATTCTGCAGCACTGAAGCCTGACGGTAGGAAAACTGTTCCAGCAGCTGCAGAAGGTCACAAGCCACTCATTTGAGACCCTACAGCCGCCTCAAACGCTACGTAGCTCGTTTATAAATAATAAGACGTTTGCCACATTTTTGGTGCCTGATTTTCAGAATGGCTTTGAGAGAATTTGCAAACACGTTGAGAAACATCCAACATGCACAGAGAGGTAGAGTCACTCCTGCTCCGACTGGTTTTCTATGTGATGGAGAAGTGGTACGATGTGCTGTTTTTTTTGTCTCTCCCGTCTGTGCTGCAGGTTTTGAAGGCTGCTCCATGGTGCCCTCCATCTATCCGCTGGAGACGCTGCACAACTCTCTCTCCCTGAAGCAGGTGGATGAGTTCCTCAGCACGGTGTGTGAGAGCAGCAGCGAGGCCCACGCCAAGACCATGAGAGGTACACCTGCAGTGTCATATTTCTTATAGTATTTTTTTCTTGTTCTTTACAAGGTGTTCACTGCAGACAAAAAACTTTGTCAGGTGTCTCTCTCTTTCTTTCTCTCTCACTGATGGCGATAATTATACTGCTAAAAAAGAAAAATGGTCTGCAGTAATAGATAGAACGGCCCGTATATATTTGAGTCCATGATTGTAAATGATTTGTTCCGAAAAATTAAACATGTTTCTTTTTTAATTGTAATCGCTTAATCTGCAGTCCAAGCTCCTCTCATTCACAACATTAATGGAGCTTTGTTCTTGTCAAGTATTTGCAGGATTGAGTCAGTTATATTGGTCGAGTGTTTGAAGGTCTAACTAGGAGGTGTTTCTTGTATCTGTTCAAATGAGGTCTAAAGATTATTGCAGTTTAAATAAAAGTCTCCATTTCCTCTTTGTCCAGTGACATTGATCTGAAGGACATTCAGTGTCTGACATTTCAAAAGGGATCTTAATGTTATTGGTTGTTTTTTTTATGTCTTTGCTCCAGCCCTCTCCAGCCTGTTTGACTCTCAGAGCCAGACGTCTCTGTACAGCCCTCAGCAGCCCCTGTCCTCGTCTGGATCTGAAACATCTCTCCGGCCACCCAGCCAGCCTCTGTGGCGTGAGTGCTGCTTTGATTTTAATTGATTTATGCAATATTTAGTCTCACTCTAATCTCATCTGGTAGAGGTCTTTTGGGGCTGGAGATTTAGATATCCAAATCTGTCAACAATAAAAGGATAGTGTATCAGCCTGTTACAGAGTCGTTGATCTAATGCACACAGTGGAGGCGTTTTAGGAATCAATTTAGATCCCTTTATTGTCAATAAAAATTATGAGTAACACTGGCTCTAAAGCCACGTTATGGAAGATCAATTCTAAATGTGCAATCACTCTGAGTGGTCAAAACACTTAATGTGTCTTACATATGCTGCAGTCACTGCTTGGCTGTGGATCAGTTTCTAAATCTGCTCTGAACAAGGCTTTTTAATCCTCAGACTTCCTGTAGAGCTACTTTGCAGATGGACTGTCACTGCACTGAACAGCTCCCATGTGTAAAAAAGAGTAACTGTGTGAATGAGAAGCAGAAGGCTGTGCACGCTCAGCAAAACTAGGACAAAAAAAGCACACCGTCTACACCTTCAGCCGACCTTCATGTAACTGATAGTATCTGCTAGCGTCGGGTCACTGCAGATGAATGACAGTCTATCAGGCCACATCTGCTGAGTGTTTCATAACACACAGGTCACACTTTGAGTCTTAGATAGCTGAGAGGTTTGTGTCCTTGAACCAAGCTCAGAATTATTATTTATTATTTATTATTTATTTTTCTATTAAAAAAAAACCAGGACAAAAAAGAAAGCTTAGATTCTGCGCTGTAATGAGGTTTGCAAATGCTGGATGAAGTAGGGTGGGTGAGGTTATGAATATCAAATGTGGACCATAAAAATATGATCAACCTTTTGATTAGCACTTCAACAGGCAAATAGCTACAACATGCCTGCCTGTCATTCGAGTCAGCCATGCCCCTTACTCTTAGCCTTAACAAGGGGGAAAGGCTTTAGTTTAGCATTGATTTGTGGTAGCACTCTTTTTGTTGCCGTTTTTTGGAGTGTTTAACATTTTTTCAAGAAGTAAGTAAAATATATAAGATATCAGTGTGCTTGTTTTGTAAGCTGAACAGTCAAAATGCTTAATTTGTTCCTTTGTTAATATTGGTAAATAAGAAGAAACAGTCAAGTTTATCATTGAAAAGCGTGAAGGCAGTATCTCAGTCTTTAGGGGCTTGGGTTGGTAACCAGAGGGTCGCCGGTTCAAGTCAAAATTTGGAAAATCGGTCTGATAGCTGGAGAGGGGCCAGTTCACTTCCTGACCACAGCTGAGGTGCCCTTGAGCGAGGCACCCACACCCTACCCCCACCCCAACTGCTCAGGAGCGCTCGCTGTGTGCAGCCCCCTCACTCTGACATCTCTCCATTAGTGCATGTCAGTAGGATCCTGTTTGTGCATGTGTGTGTATTTCAGCCTTTGTGAGTGTAGCATGTCTCAATAACAGAGTGGAAAATGTAATTTCCCGTCGCGTCATAAATAAAGTACATCATCTTCTTCTTAGAACCAGCAAAACAAAAGTAATTCCTATTTTTAAACAATGAACGGGTTAATTAAGTTTGGATTGAGTATAAACGGTTTGGAGCGTCACCTGAATGATCAAATGTTTAAAAATGATAAAAACCTAATATTCTTCAAGTGAAACTAATCAGTGATCAATGAACAGTTTCAGTAGTGCTCTGTTTACCTCCCACACAAAGGGTCATTTTAAGATTCTGGGGTAAGAGCATTATGTAAAATGTGAATATTTATCAGTCTGCTTTCTTATAAAATAGTCTTAACACATTTAAACGGTCCTGAAAATGTCAGACAAGCTTCATAACAGCAGAATGAGAATGTCAGCCGTCCTGTGGGATCAGATTTAAAACTTGAGATCAAGTTTCAATGCTCTTCTTCTTCTTTCTGTTTGTCGTAATCCCCTCAAGGAGGTGAGGTGTTTCATTTATCTTCTTCGCACTGTTGATGATCGATGAAGCGTCCAGCTCTCTGTCTTTTGTATCCTCCACTTTCATTTCTACTTTATTTACATTGTTAGCGCTAGGTGTTGCTTTTCCTCGTCCTTTATTTTTCCTGTGACTTACTCTTTTCCTCTCTCCTGTCAGTACCTGCTCCGGATCTGGTTTCCTGTAACAGCCAATAACTCATTTAGCTTTGTTTATCAGGCAGCGTACTCTCCATTAGTAGCTGGATGAATATGACAATTGTTCTGCTGATGGCGTGACACTCTTTGTTCTCCTATTGGCTGTAGTTACAGGACAGCTGGGCTATGTAACTCAATTTAAACCACAATGAGACAGTTGTAGGATCTCTAGTGGAAAAACGAACGTAATATCTTCCCTCTAATCGGCATAAAATTATTGTATTGTGTTTATTTTAAGTTTCATGTTTTCTCTGGTTGAAACCTCAGGAGAAGCTTTGAATGATCTACAACCTAAAGACCTCCTTATTTATCTCACACCGGTGTTTTTCAGGTACTGTTTCTTTAAGGCCCCGCTCCCTATTTTAATTGGCCACCCACCAGAACCCTTGTGCCCTGTGCCCAGGTCATATTGTGATCTCAAAAAATCTCCATGGTAGAAAAAAAAACCTTGGCCTGGTTGTTAAAAGTAATCCAACAGAATTAAAGCTATCGGATAGAATTACTCGGTTTTAGGCACCCCCACATGTCCGTTATGCTTTTGAGAGAGGTTTACAGACCAGATCTGGCTAAAATAAACACAGACTGCAACAGACTATAAAGACTGCAGAAAAAATCATTGGTGTCGACCTGCCCCCCATCCAGGAGTTATACCGGTCCCGGGCCAGGGAACGGGCAGGTAGTATCACTGCAGACTCCTCACACCCTGGACACAAACTTTTCATTATACGCACACTTATTTATGTAAGTGGGGGGGGGGGACTTTGGACTGCAGTACCCATTTTAAACGCTAGGTGTCAGAGTAACATATTGCTCCTTTTAAAAGTCTGTACCTAGATCAGTGTAATCCTATTCAGTTTTCTTAAAACCAATGGGATAAAAGTGAGCTGGATTAAGTGATTTTTGTTGGAAAAAAAGTGGATTAATTAATCTGTATTCTTTTTGTCCGGATTAAAGCTTTTCTAATCACCAGGTCCTGGTGTTTAGAGCCGCTTTTAGCTGCTGATTTCAAACTTTATCCATGTTTAGTATACTTTTTTTTCAGCATTGTAACGCAGTATGTAGTATGTCTGAAAACATGGAACAGCATAAAGCCTCCTCTTTCATTCGTCCAGAAATATTAATACGTCTATGGATGAATGAATTGTGAGACTCTCTTCAAATGTTCTGTACGTGGTCTTAACCTTGGGTTATTGTAAAAACACTCTGACGTACATGCAACTTGATTTATGAACCCCCCCCCCCCCCCCAAAAAAAAAGAAAAAAAGAAGAGTTTTGTGAAGTTCTCCATGGCAACAGAAGAAGAAGCAGTGAGAGGATGACGCTTTTTATGTACCAGATCACCCCAAGCCTTTTCCTCTTTTCACTCTATGTCCCTCCTGATGACGCACTCACAGTAACAAATACTAATAACACATACAGGGAGTGCTGCAGGAGTCCAGTGATTAATGCTTTAATTAGGCAATAGCAGAGTTTTGGAATGTGTTTCTATTATATCATTTATCCTTTTTGCATGTTCAGGTTGAGACTCGAACGGTATGTATAATATCTGTTTGTGAAGTTTAGAGTCAATGAATTGTCTGTTTTTTTTATTTTTTATTTAAAGATGGTAGCATCCCCTCCAGTGCCGTCTCCAGTGCCGGCCCCTCCTCTCCGATCACAGAGAGCTCCGGCCTCAACTTCAGCTTCAGTGAGTAGACAGTCAGTCTGAAAAAAACAGAGACTTCTGGGTATACAAGGGCTTCTTCTGAAGACGTTGGTATGTCTGTCTCTCCCTGCTTTGATTCATGTTTTCCTCCTGCTCACATTCACACACTTAAAAAAAAAAAAAAAAAAAAAAAAAAAAACTGGTGAGGAGATTCTGATTCAGGAGGGAGAGGCCGTGCTGCCTCAGATGTTATGAAACACTCAAACTATAATATAACCACTCAAACTGTGCATGGACTCTTCAGGAGCACAGCAGCTACAACTCCACAAATCTGATCAACAAGAAAACAAGTGAAGAGGAAAACGCTTTGGACCCTTTGACAGCGTAACGCTCTCTACCCTCCTCTTCACTGTGACCACATGTTCATGATCCAGCCGGTGCGGAGCCACAGTGTGTTAAGCCAACATTCACACCAGTTGTGCCTCTAGTTTAATGCAGATGCTGCCTACGCTCATACAACATCAGTGCCTGCTGTTTTTCTTTTCTTTTCTGTTTCAGCCCAAATGCTGTTTCACAAAATATGTCACGCACCAGCTGCCTAAATCCTGATCTCAGACATGTTCCACTGTAATATATCAGACTGTGAGTGAGTCAAAGTGTCAGCACTCATTGATTTGCATTTGTTTTACTTCCCCTTTGCTCCACTGTGAAAAAAAGTAGCTTTTTTTTAAATTCAAGTTAAATTGAATGACCACCTTCTCTCTCATGTTTGGTTATTTTTATGTTTCAGTGTCTTGTTGCTGAAAGTTAAAGCTTCAATGTAGAGTTTGACATTTTTCACCAGGAGTTAAGATGACCTGCTGCATATGAAACCACAGCCAGAAGCCTGTTAGCTTAGCACAAGGACTCTAAAACGGGGAAAGACAGCTAGCCTGGTTGTGTTCATTGACAGGGAAGTCGTACTTTAAAAGAACACAATCTAATTTAGTTTGTTTTATTTGTTAAAGAAAAAAAAAGTACAATCTTTTTTGGCAGAATCTTTATTATCACTTTGAAAAGAACAAATCCTGCGCACTGTGCAAAAACAGAAGTAAAAAATGTTTTTTTTCTGAAAGGGGTGTAATGCTTCATAATGGGGCTTGAGAGTTGTTGGCAGATTGTCGTTGGACAACAAAGACAGGTACCTTCTTCTGTATTGGTCTTGTACGTGCTAAGCTAAGCTAACAAGCTTCTGGGTATTGCTTCATATAAACAGAAAGTTGTATCAATCATCTCCACTAACTCTTGGTTAAAAAGCAAACAACTATATTCCTTTGAGATGATGTACTCACAACTAAATTCTGTACGTCTGTTTTTAGAAAAATGCTTGAAAAAGTTGAATATGAAAAATGTTAAGAACAGAGCCTTTTGTTTTCAATTTTATTTTGGGTCTTTTTTATGCCTTTACTTAGAGACAGGACAGAACAGAGTCAGGAATTGGGGAAGAGAGGGAAAGTGGGGAATGACATGCGGTGAAGGAGCCACACAGGTCGGATTCAAACCTGGAGAACCACAGCCTCTGTACATGGGGCACGCGTACTAACCACTAGGCAACCAGGGCCTGGAACAGATCCTTTTTTAACTTAACTCTAACTTATAACCAAAAAGCAGCGGCCGTACATTGGACATTGACAACATAGTTATGGCACCTTTAGCGTTACAGAGATTACAGTCGGATATGATTTTTAAAGAGACCTCACGTCGGTGTCGTCTGACTGCAAGATGTTAAAAATCGTATTCACTGAATGTTTAGTTTACGTCATTAAACCAAAGTAACAAGACGTTATTTGGGGTTGTTTTTGAAACATGTGTAACGTTAGTCGGCTTTATCAAAGTGTATTAGTCTGTTTGACGAGGGTCTGCTGTTAAATAGAAACAACTATCTGTGAATGTGCCTTCAAACGACTTCAAAGAGTATTTCAGACACAGAGTGTCCTGCTGTATTTTTATGACTTTTTTTGATTAGTGGGCGGGGTTTAAAAATCAGACAGGAGTTCAAGTGTACAGGTTATAGTTTTATGTTAGACTAAAAGGGAGGAACCACTTTGTTTTAGTAAATGTTATGAATGTACCTTAACCCTTTGATGACTGCCTGACGAGTTTCTCTCTGTTGAGACTGTTTAGTGTCGGCTCTTACGCCAAATAACATGAACTGTGATGTTAAAGCTGTCAAACTTTGATGTTAAAACTGTCTAACTTTGATGTTAAAGCTGTCTAACTTTGATGTTAAAGCTGTCTAACTTTGATGTTAAAGCTGTTTAACTTTGATGTTACAGCGATCTAACTTTGATGTTAAATGCAGGGTTGGTAATTTTTGAAAAACTAGCATGATTTTGAAAGTAACATTCCCTCAGTGCTCCGTCTGCACCCACCCCCTCGCCTCTGTCCTCCCTCAAAAGTCACGCCCCTCACTCAGATGCACAAGCGCCATTGGTCCAGAAGTAGACCTCAGCTCATGCTTTGAGTGTGGGCTTGTGAATGCATGGGGTAGGGAGGCGTCTGATTGGTTCATTAGATTGGTACCTCGTGGCAGACATTGGTCAAAGTTTATACAGACTTATAACTGCTACAGATGACTGATTTTCTTTGTTCTTTTTTTCAGAGCACATTATTAATTTCTGTCAGGACCTAAAGACAATTTAAACCAAAATCTTAAAAAGTGTATTTGGAGAGAATGACCAACCCTGCCTTTAAGCAGTCTAACAGTTGTTGTAAAAGATATATTTTCTCAGGTGACTTCATCATAAATCTATGGATGGAAAAAGATGATATGAACATGTGATTGAGCTGGGGGTCGATTCACTTTCAATAAAAAAAAGAAAGGAAAAAAAAGGATATTGAGTTGTACGGTAATACATATGACTCATCCTCCAATAAAATACTTTTTATTACTTTAAATGAAAAGTTGCAGATGTAAAGGTGTACCATGGAGAAAGTTTTATTTTAGTATAGCTCTGGGATCACTCTGTTCAGGCTGTTTTTTATCGGCAACACCAGAGAATAAATTGGAGAAATAAATCTGCTCCCGCCTCCTTTTAAGCTGTTTGAATTGAAAATGAAGTGAACCCCCCAGAAAACCTGCAAACACCTGCTGTAGAACACAGTTGTACAAAATATCTTCCAGTGCAGTTATCATGAAGAGTTTTAGATTTAGATAGAATAAGAATAATGTTTTCTACCTAAAGGAGTGTGGATGTAGTTAATTTTAGTCGTGTATTTATGTGATTATTTAATGTGATATTTAATGTCAGCCAAAGAGGACGAGGAGGAGAGTGTGTGTGATGACGAGTTTGGCTGCTGGAGAACAAAGTGGACGTTTCAACGCTGTAAAAAATGTTTGTGATGATGTAGAGAGGAGGAGGGCGGGCAATAAAAATGATATTAATTTTACTCTGACAAGTGTTGTTCAATATGTTATCAGTTAAGAAAAAAGAAAAGGAAAATCTGCCTTATGCCACAGGTCCGTGTGCGTGTGCGTGCGTGTGTTTGTGTGTGTGTGCACGCCTGTTATTGCTCCATAAACAAAGCTCCATGTCACCGCTCTGCCAACACACTCCCAGCCTCACTGTCTCGTTTCTCTTCTCTTGGTCGGTTTTTCGTTCCTTCCTGTTTTTTTTTTTTCAGTCTCCTTGTTTCCTTCCCTCCTTTCATGTCTCACATCTTACCTCACCCCTTTTTCCCCTCTTCCCCTCTTCTCTTCCCTTCTCCACTCTTTGAGCTTCCCTCTCTACTCGTCACTTTTTACCTCGTCCTATCCTCTCTTTTCCTTGTGTCCTTTACTTCTCTCCTTGTTTCATTCCATCCTCTCCTCTGTTTCCTCTAACTTCCTAATCTCCTTTCCTATCTTCTCCTCGTTTCCTCACCTTGATACCTCCCCTCTCCTTATCTTATTTGCCATATTGTGTCCTTTCCTTTCCTGTCCTTATCTCTTATTCTTTTTATAGTTTACTCTCTTTTTGTCCTTTCCTTGTTACCTCTCCTTATCTCTATTCCTCTCCTTGTTTCCTTTTCCTGACCCCTTTTATCTTTCCTTTATATCTCCTATGCTAAAATCCCCTCTCCTCGTTGTTTCCCCTCCTCTTCCTGTCTCCTCTCCTTTTCAATCCCACCCGTTCCTTGTCTTCTCTCCTAATCTACTTTCCTATATTTTCTAGTTTCCTTTCCTCATCTTCTTTTCTCTTTGTATTCACTTGTTTCTCTCCTCTTTTCTCCCCTAGTCCCTTATCTCCTTTCCTATCTTCTCCTCGTTTCCTCACCCTGAAATCTCCCTTTTCCCTTTTATCTTCATTCCTGTCTTGTCCTTATGTTATTTTTTTCATCCCTCTTCTTATGTAATTTCATACATTCACTTTATTTCCTCTTCTCTCCTTTGTACGTCTCCTTTACCTAACTTCTTTCCGATCACCCTCTTGTTTCCTCTTATATTTTATTCCTCCTGTTGCTTACTTCCCTCTGATTTCCTTTCCTCTTCTTTCGACTTTTCCTTTCCTTTTCATCCTTTATTTCCATTTCCTTGTTTCCTCTCCTAGTTTCTCCTCCTCTCCTCCCTTTCTTTCCTTTTTTTTTTACTTCACTCCATCTTCCGCTCTCCACCTTTTCCTCTCCTCTTGTCTGCCCTCCTCGTCCTCCTCCTCGTCGTCGTCCTCCTCCTCTTCTCCACACTGCTTTTTGAGAATAGTGATGACTCATGTCTCCCTCCTATTGCTGCCATGCGTTGCTATGGTGACGCCCCCAGATGTATTTGACTCCCCCTAAGAGACGCCGAATGAATGGAGAGGAGGGGGGACTCAGACAGACATTGCCGACTCACCGGAAGCCAAAAGCTGATGTCATCCCCTCTCTCTGCATGACAAGTCTTCTCAGGCTTTATTTCCTACACACACACACACACACACACACACACACACACACATATTCTCCTTTCATTCACAGCAACAAAAGATAGTCACCGATTGGCTGCTGGTTAGTTTTATCCCCTTTTGTGAAGTTGTTCTCATGACAGCAGCAGAAGTTTTTTATATTATGTCCTTGGTTTAAAAAAAAAGTTACATCTAGTTTCTGGAGATTAATTAAGTTGGGTAAGAAATGTCAGCCTAGTGAGGGAGTTTAGAGTGATGATGGCTTGGGGGGAATAACAGACAAAATATATTTGACAAAATATTTATATTGTCACATCTTTTTTTTTTTCTTGTATTTTTTTATGTAGCTGTTCGAGGTCACTGTGTCCCAAACCCCCACCCTCCTCCAGACTGTTCAGTGTCCCGGCTTTCAGTCAGCAAATTGTTTAAAATGCAAACGTTGAAAAATGATGTGGGAGGGAAAAACAAAAGAAGTGAGTAACTATTGGCCGTGCTGAGGAGAGAATTAGCCTCATCCTCTTCATCAAAAGACTGTAAGGAAGGCAGGAAGGTGTCCAGTATTAAAGACCTGGAGTACCACCTCCACACTCTCAGCCTGTCCTCTCGACTCCACCATAAGGAGGAGAGGGGATATAGAGTCTAAACACATTGCCATGGTAACTAAGGGGGGCAGCTTGGAAAGGAGAAAAGGGACTGTTTTGCCTGGGGATGTGGCAGCCAAAAAGCAATGTGTGGGCTTGATCTGTCTTTTTGGTTTTTATTTTACACGTCTTCGACTTTAAGAAAGATAAAGATGAAACATTATGAGACAAAAATCACTTACAGGCTGAGTCATCACTGCTTGAAACAAATGCAGAGTGTAAGCATCAGGTGTAGGTGTGCATCCATCATGGCTGATTTACCCCCTCACCCCCTCAGGTACATCGTTGTGTTCCCTCCTCTGGCTTCTTTACAAACGAAACAGAAAACTACTAAGTATCTCTGACAGGTGAGGCATGAGGACTGAGCCGAGCCACTGAGGTGTAACGTCTCTTTCATCGTTCCAGCTGAAGAATCAAAGCACATCAACAAACTGGCCGAGTCTGTTTTTTTCTCCAACTCGGAAACCAATCAACTCATGTCCTCCACTTTCAGTTCATTTAATGATTAAATCACTTTTTGTCCCAGAGTTGAAAGTTTTTATTCACAAAAACTACCGTGGTAAGAGTTTGAAATTTAAAAGTTTGTGATTTATTCTTGGATTAGAGTACTAGGCTCATTTAGGTAAATTGAAGTTTGGGGAAAACAACTTTACTACCCTATGTTTTACTACTTTTACATTTTGTTTTATAGGACAAACTTTCTGGGAGGCACTGGAGAGAAAATAAAAAGGTAAGGTCATTGCTTTTTAGTATTAAATCTTTAGTTTCTGTCTTTGGAAAACACTTGTTTCAGATTGAAATAATGTTAAAACCATAAAAACATTCTGCACAAACTCTTAATCCTGACTCATACAGTGGACCTGGTGGGCTAGCGGTTGGTTGCCCGGGTTCGGGTCCGACCTGTGGATCCTTTCCTGCATGTCGTTCCCCTCTCTCTATTTCCTGATTTTTGGCTCTGTCTACTCTCTAAATGGAGGTATGAAACGCCCATCAATGCACCTTAAAAAAAAAAAAAAAAAGACTCACACAGGAGATATTGTAAGTGGTTTTATGTTCTCAGCGATGTCCTTTCTTACATTTAATCTACTCTCCCTCGGGTATATACTGTATGTTCACCTCCTTGAAACCTTTATCCCCGAATCCTCAGGAACAGCTTACTGAAGATTAAACACTGATATATCAAAAGTAGCTGAATGGATTTTTTGGACTGAAAGTGAAACATCCATTACTCTTCATTCTTTTGAAATTCAAACTTTAGTGTAAACAATGTTAGTGAACATACAACTCAGGGAACCTTTGGGATGATCTCATTTTAGCAGTGATGATCAGCTCGTTTACCATCTTATTGTAGCATGCAAAGTAACCACAGGCCTATTCATATGCTTATTTACATAATGATGTTACAGTGGCTCTCGTGTAATTTGATTGGAGGGTTCATGTCATTGCAAGTCTTTAATTTGTATGTTCTAGGACTACATAAACACGGTTCTCTAACATTTCAATTCTGTATTGGTAAAATTTAAAGTTGTTTTTCTGTAGCAATATTAATTATTGACATCTTCAAATAGTTTTAGTTCAATCAAAAGTTAAAAAAAACCCAAGGGTGCTTCATTTACAATCATCATGCCACAAAATGTAGCTTTTCTTTATGGAAAAAAAAAATCTGCTGCACACTAAAAATCACAACCACTTTATTGGGAGTGAACACCGTGTTTCGCCTGTAGCTATAGCCTGTAGCCTCCACAGGTTCGCCCATGAACACTTAAGTCATTTTCAGTCTCTGGCGGATTATGTATTTATTTTTTCATTGCATCTTCCTGCAACCGACTGGCACCTGAGGACATAGGACGGCTGTGTACCGGGGACCCTGTTGGTCACTGGTATTCAACTTTTCCTTATACTTAAGAAACTGTAACCGGTAAATGTTTGACGTATTTCCCTGAAATATTACTGACACAATGAATGGATATTAAAACTAGTTGGCAATTGATTGTTATAGACTGACTAATGGACTGGTCATCGCAGCTCTATTGGAATTGTTTTGATCACCGTAAAAACCTGTAAAAAAGAAGATAAGAAATAAAACACCCACAGCAACATATTTAGATTTCAATGAACTTTAATTGATGATCACCAGGCTGTTTCCCTTTTACAATGAATTTGCAGTAGTTCTAGTTTTATCAGTTAGATTTAAAGAGACAGAGAGATATTGAATATTGCACTGAGGAAGAAAAACAGAACTAAGATTATTACAATGCAAAAGAGAGAGAGAAAGAGAGAGAATCGAACGGAACTACAAATACAGCGTCTTCTTAACAACATGTTAATAGGGCAAACAATAAAAGCACAGCCCAGTATTATATTACTGTAGGTCATTTCAGTACCAGTTAAGACAATTAGCTTCTTTTTTTTTTCAAATATATCTCTTTAAAATAGCAGTGTATCTTTTTATTATTATTAATATTTCCAAGTTAAACAATTACATTCAGGATTATAACTAAATAAATCACATGCAGATAGATTAGATGGACACATGACACCATATCGTGATCAAATGATATCGTCATTTTAATGCAGGTATGGCGATGGAATGGAACTGAAAGATGCACTTTTTTTTTTTTCTCGTTCTGTATCTTGTCTGCGTTATGTTTGTTGTTTTCTTAGTTCCAGGAGAAGTTAACAGTTTGTATCGCACTGTCACTAAAATCAGCGAGAAATGAACAGGTGTCACAAGAAGAAGAAGGATAGTTTGTTTGTATCTTTCCGGTTTGTTCCTTTTCCAGAGCGATATTTACAATTCTGCGTACCGTACAGATGTGTACATGTAGCTTTAGTTTTCCGTTTTTTACTGATGGTTGTTTTTTGAGTCTGCATGTGTTTCAAGTCATTTTCAGGAAAAGTTGCAGCTGCAGTTTGTACTTTTTCTGTGTTACTGTTCAGACGTCTATTGTGGGATCGCTGACTCGATAAAAGTCAAACTTGTCTCCCCCTTCAGGATACGATTGGAACTGAGGCGACAGTTTGTCAAAACAGAAACCAGTATCCGCCTGCTCCCTAACATTTAGATCTGTCTAGGTTTGTGTGAGAGTTATTCCTTTTTTTTTTGTTTATGTATTTATTTATTTTTTTGTCACTTGATTTGATCCAGCAGCGTTCGCACAGTAGTACCAACTCTACATTCAGAAAAATAGATTTCCTGTTTAGTGCATTCAGCTCGTGTATAGTCAGACGGTCATCATCAAGCGACTCGCAGCGTTCAACTGATGCCTTGACAAAAAAAAAATATATATTTGTATAGCTCAAGGCCAGTTATTTGGAATCTGCCAACTTAAAAACAGGATTCAAAGACAGTATACGACACATCAGGCCATCCACAAAATCTGATCCATACATTGAAAAAGCTCCTTGTTTCCAGACAGCATTGAAGAAGGGCTGAAAAAACACTTGTTGTTCGACCAGATCACAAACACTCGTAAACTGTATACAAGGGAGTCAATTTGATCGTGTGCAAGTTGTGTTCTGGCCTTTAGATTATGTACTCCCTTCAGACGAAGGTGTGTGTGTGTGTGTGTGTGTGTGTGTGTGTGTGTGTGTGTGTGTGTGTGTGTGTGTGTGTGTGTGTGTGTGTGTGTGTGTGTGTGTGTGTGTGTGTGTGTGTGTGTGTGTGTGTGTGTGTGTGTGTGTGTGTGTGTGTGTGTGTGTGTGTGTGTAACTTGTGCGTTCCCAGCTGTGTAATAAACACCCTGCATCAGACTCTTCCCCAGTGGGATAAAAAAAGCTATGTCTGCCTCTTAAACAGTACATCATGGGGTTATATAATGTTTAGAAAAATAATTACAATCTGTGGCAACTTGTGAATCTTTGAATATTGAGGCTTTGAAACTTCCAGTTTAAAAGTAGTGTTAGCGTTTTGACAGAAGGAGGGGGGGGAGGGGCCCAGGCTAATACAGGCTGACCATGTTGTTCATGTTTTTATCAGTTTGGAGAAAAAAACTGAATGAAGTTGGCGACATCTTGTTAATCAATCTGTCATCGAATCCTCAAACAGCATACTTTCTAGAAATCCAAGCGTCCGCCTCGCCTGCCCTTAGCTTCAAATAAAAACAAAACAAACAAGCAAAAAAAAAAAATCCACCTTTTGATGGAAACATCTTTGCAGAAATGTTTTTCTTATTTTGACCAAAACTAATTATAATTCAAAAAATGCATTTGCTTCTGAGAACAATGAAGGAGAAAATTAAACCTGAATGGATTGCAAATAAAAATATCTTCCTATACACATTTAAAATCCAACTTGGCCATGTGTATAAAGGTCACATGTGCATATGAGTTTCTCTCCGGTCTTTCTAACAAAAAGACCTTTCACACTTTACCTCACTCTCCAACCCATGCTGCGTTACAAAAACAGCTACTCTGTGCATTCATTGTGAACTAACAAACACAAAAAGTACTCTAAAGACATTCCTACTTTATAACTGCTTCTTGTACAATCCTAAACATTCACGTTCATGCTCGTTCTATACATACGTCTCTGGGATTAAGATTAGATAATTGCTTCATAGTGAGATTTTGTCTCACTCAGTTGGGAGGATCTTTGCGTAAAAATTCTTTATATTTAAGTATCTATAATATATTTGAGTTATTCTCTGCTACTTCTATCCCTGTCATCATCATCACACAAAAATCCAACTTTTCAACTCTCACACCTCTTAAAAGTACATTCCTATTTGGTGCAATACTTTGCTCGAAGACATTCATGTTGGTTTAAAAGTGACATTTCAGAATAGTTTGTATTGTATAGCTTGACAATTTCAGAGTGTCCTGGTTGTGGACGAAGGTTTGTGTATGTTCTGTATTGACTGATTTGTCATCTGTTTCAAAGTCCTTACATTTGGTTTCCTTTCTTTACCCTGGCTCTGCTTCAAAATGGCTGACATGTCCTTCAAATAATTCCCTCTCTACAAAACCACAAGCTAAAGGCACGTGAAAGAAGCCTCCTATTACACACTCCATATATATATACATATATATATATATATATATATATATATGTATATATTTCTATCCTGAAAAACAACCCCATCAATAAATACAAAATATTGCAGTTCAAACTGATGTTAACGTTCCTCTAAGGGAACAAGCAGACAAGCTTCCGTTGCTACATTTGTCTCAGGTCAATGCTTGTTTTTTTTTCATCGCTTTACGATATCAACAAACGGTAAAATGTAGCTGAACAGGAGGAAATGATGGAAAAATTAAACCTCATCAAAATTCGCTTCAGGATCATTATTTTGCTGCATCATCACGAAATAACTAATCTTTCAACAAATCGTATTGATGTAGAAACATTTACCCTATACTGTGCGTATACAGGAGTACATATGACCAACATAGAGCGTGATACGACTTAAAGAGGAACCGTTACATCCAGCAGAGATATGATTACTGTGCAAACATCGTCCCTTTGCCTGGCGCCTATTGAATTCACAGCCAAACAGGTGTAGTTATCTATCTGCACTAAACTGCATTCCACACTCAGAGGCTGGCTAAAGAAACGATTAACCCTATGCAGTTCGGACAGTCTGAGCTAAATTGCAAGCATCATGCACCAACAAAGCTGTAAAAGCCGAAAGAGAGAGATTTCAAACAGTGGCAACTTCAGGCATCCCCTAAAACTTCATCACAAAATGACAAGAAGGAACATTGTTTCTTTTACATAACATCAATTTATGTCTCTATTGAGTTATTTCCAAAAACTACTGTGGTGTGAGCAGAGCTGCAACCTATGGGTTTTGCCATGTGCACAGATGGAAGCTTCATATGAAGAAACTTATGGAACAGTTCTACTCTTATAAAACACTGCATGAAGTCATCAGTCTCTCATTCATTTAGGAGACAGTCTTGAGAAATGTGAATTTTTCAGTGTTTTGGCACTTGTTTTGAACATTTGAACAAGAATTTTGCCACTTTTGGAAATGTTACATTTGAGATTGATTTGATTGAAGGCAACATTTTCAGACCAACACTTGACTAATCTGTAGTTTGTGGTAAGTTTTAGGATAAAGATGGGTATTTGTTAGATATGCGGCAAAGAAAGCTTTTAAGATTTTTTGATCAAGCACAACTGGTGCTTGAATAAGAGACGAGTTAGGGCAAACAGTTTACTCACAGCGATAACAAACATGAAAGTAGTTTATTACTTGCAAGATAACCCCACACTATCACGCAGAGCACAAACCCAAACTTCTGACTTTGATTTCAGCTAACATAATCTAGTTGTTTGAGGGTTGCAGTAAATGCATTTGAGTGATACCATGAGTAAGCGAGAAGCTTTGAAGAAGCAGAGTGCTGTCCGCTCACTCTACCTCCAGTGAGGACGCATGACAGGGAGGGGGAGGATGGGACAAGAGTAGGAGAGCACAGCATGGTGCTTGAAGCTCAAAATTCGATCTTGCAGGCGGGGAAGGACTCATCCTGCATGACTACGGTGCTGCTAGAGGCCAGAACCATGATGTTCAGGTCCTGCTGCTTCTCATGGGTCTGCTGGTACCATTCCCGGGTCACCTCGCTGTCGTGGGTGGGGATAAGAGTCACCTGGTGGGGAGGCAGAGAAACAAAATGGAAAAAAGATTGTTCAGTACACTGTTTTTACTTGCTGGCAAAGAGTAGGATGAGATTCAAAGTTTAATCCAAAAGTCAAGTGGACTTGGTTGAAGTCCAGTTACCTTTCGGAATAGACTTTGAACTACCATGACCTGGATGGCTGTGAGCCTTTACAGGCAATAAGATGAGACGATGGATGATAAACCTCTTATTTCTGTGTTTTAAATATGAAGCTTCAGCCGGGAGTTTGCTTAGATTATTTTACATTAATGCAAAGACTAGAGATCAAGGAAAGAGGACTTTCCTTGATCCCTTTGAGAGGACTCAAAGGCTCTTATAAAAGGCCTTTGAGTATCTTTCACGCTCATAAAGTCATTGACTTATCATTACTGGTACATTTTATTTGATATATTAAAAAAACAAATAGATTTAAAGTGATTATGTGCAGGACCTTTTAATGTCCTAACAGGACAATGTATAACCATTCCTATAAGAATTGCTCTTAAAGGGATTTACAGTCTTCAGTGATGTCTATTAAGTAACCACCATTGCCACTGTCATTATAAGAACTTAATGAGCTAACTGGTTTAGAACCAACCATTAGGCAATGTCAACCAGTACCAATCAATGTTCCTCACACGCAAACTAGATCCTGGACCTGGATCATTTTTTTCACACCAAGAAAGTATTTGCAGCTTTTAATCATCCATCCAAGTATTCATTCATCCAAACTTAAACATGGCCCAGTTGTAGTAGCAATAAGCAAGTTATTGCAGAAGTCTACTTTTCCTCAAACCTTTCCCGCCTCCTCCTGGGCATCCCTTGGCATAACCAGGCCAGATGGGATTTGAGCATGCCCAGAAAACCATAAAAGGAATGCCCAGAAGTGGACTCCATCACACTTGGCTCCTTTCCATGTGAAGGAGCAGTGGCTCTACTTGGAGCACCTTTGCAACAATCTGTAGGACTAAGCCCAGACACCCTGCTGAGGAATCTCATTAAGGAAACTTGTCTCTGCAATCTCGATCCTCAGGTCACTACCCAAAGCTCATAACAATAGGTGAGGTAAGGTACATAGGTTGACTAGTAATTCAAGAGCATTGCCTTCTGCCTCAGCTTCCTCAGTAGTACAATTCCTTTATAGCTACTGAATCTGCCCCAATCTGTACATCCACTGCATGATCCATTTAACCACCACACATGAACCCTGAGATACCGGATGGTAACATTTTTATTGAGCCAACAGAACCACATAAACTACTAACAGTTCTTTGTACACAGGATACAGACAATTGTCTTAATTTGGTTTTATACACCAGAATCTTTCCCTACAACCCACAGGACCCCCAAGGGAAATGGCTATAGGCCATTCCCTCAAAATACATACACTTGATGAGAAATCCCCTATGATCTCCCCTTCATATCTGATGAAGTTTTTTAGAGAATACTGACCCTTTGTAACCCTTTCAATATTGCTGGGCCATGTCAGGTAATGGTTATCTCTTGATCCACTGTTCCATGACCTGGATGGAACCTGCAATGGTCCTATTGTGTCTGAGGTTCGACTATCTGCCCAAGCCACCTCTCGAGTTCCCTGGAATAAACTTTCCCAGGAAGGATTTGATAACAAAAGAAATAGGGCACATCCTTCCACAACCTCTAACTTAAAAAAAAAACAAGACAGCCAACAATGTCCAGAGCCATCAGTTTCTTAGGGTGAATCCGATTCTCACCAGGCCTCTTGGGGTCAAGTAGTTTCAGTGAACTCGGCCAAGGACAATGATGTGATCAGTGCTCCTGGATCTGGTTCATGAGCTTATTTCATTGTTCAACTATATGCCCAGTTAGAGTCAGAGATTATCCGCCTATAGGCCAAGGAAAAGCCCTGCTTTCCCCTGCTGAGTTGCAAGTGTTTGCCAGAGCCCCACCGAAGTGACCAAAAAACATCTACAGTCACTAAGTTTACTAAATGTAAGATTGTACACGGTTTGGGCGCACTTGAGGACAGTCATTATGAGGCATGTTTGTATAGACAGACTGACAAAGACAACATGAATATATATACCTGTAAATTGGAGCCCCACTGAGCTTTGCCCTCCAGCAGGGCATCTAGGACTCCACGACTGGGTTCTCCACTGCCTGGGTCATTCCCGCTCACCACATAGTAAGCAGCTCTCACTCTTTTGAAGAATTCCTGGTCCACGTTCTTTGCACTGCAGTGGTTTGGTACATAGGCCAAGTCCACATAGACTGGTGGTCCAGCAGGGACGGCTGAGCCTGTTTTCTGAGAATTGTTGACTGGAAATGAACAGGAGCATAACAGATCTAAGGTGAATTGTAGGGTAAAAATAGAACAATCAATTATTCAGAAAATATGTCCACAAAGTATCAATGCACCTTTTGTTCAATGTCTCTTCTGCATATCCATTATTTCAATGTGCTGCTGTTTTCTATTTCATTATGCCCCCTGCACTATTTTAAACAACTTCTATCTGTTTCATGTCCCACCGCCTCATATTATCAATTGCAGAGTTGCTACAGTTTCACAGAGGCGAGCATTAAGGCGCTAACACGATTGAATCAAGTCCCCAAAATATTAATATTTGAGGTCCAATAACTTTTCTGTAAGACAAGTGATAAAAGCTTCGATGAGAAATTAACCAAATGTGTTTTCTCCTTGTCGAGAGTCAAGGCTATGGTTATATAAAGGTTAATTGAAATATCTTCTCTACTAATTGCCTGTATATAGGGAGCACAAGTGCAATCAATTTTGTTTTCTGATTTAATCTCATCTGAAGACAGTTCTTATCAGCCCAATATTTGTATTGTAATAAAAGACAATGCATCATGAGCTGCCGGATATAAAGATCTTTAACATACCTGATGTGCTCTTGACACCATTGACCAAGCCTTTAACTCCCGTGTCACTCCTAGCACTCTGGGTTTCAGACATCTTGTTCAGCCTGGAGCTTCTATCAGTGTCCCTCCTCCTCAGGGAGGCTGATCGAGGAGAAGCAGATTCCTTAGAAGTCTGCTTCACTGGAGTATAGGACCTCTTCCTGACTTCATTTTTGCGGGCCGGGGAAGCTGACTTGGGTTTGCTCTTCCTGAGGCCCTTTGTGGTCTTGTGCTCCTTCTTGAGAAGTTTCTCTGTGCTGCTGTGGTCATTGAGAAGAGCCTCTGGATCTACCATGCACACATCTGGATGGGGAGGATGGGGATGGGGGTCCTTCATCGGTGTGGGGAGGGGATCGTGAGTCTTTTGAGTAGACCTTGGTGAGGGAGGACGGTGACCTCCTGAAGCTCCAGTTGCAGATAATTTGTCTACTGGCAGATGTTCAGCGTCTTCGTCAGAGTCCAGGTTTCCTTCGGCTGTTATTGACGGACATTCCTCGGTTTCTGGCGGCACGTCAGAGTCAGACTGTGTAGGCAATGACTCACTCACTGACGTTGGGGGTGTTTCCTCTCCAGCTAATGTCACAGCCAAGCCAGAAGACAAGCCAGGCATCTGATGTGGCCCTTGTCCAGAGTCTCCATGCTGACTCTGAGGATGTTGGCGCCTCTGCTTGTGCGACCTCCTCTTCACTGAGTGTTGCTCCTGATCATCCTCGTCAGCATCTTGGGAGTGGTCACTGTGTTCATCCTCCTCACCCTCATCACTGGAGAGCAGATGAGGGCTTGGGTTGATGAATGAAGGCGATAGTTCTCCCTTGCGATGTTTATATTCGCAGGAGGAAAAGCCAGCATGGGAGGCAGAAGAGGAGGCGGCTCCAGTGTTCAAGTCAGAGGGACGATCAGCTTTTACAGGTCTTTTGCTAGAAGTTTCTGTTTGACAGGGATCTTTTGAGGAAGACACAGAGGCACTGTGGGCACTAGTTACCCACTCCATTGCTTCCTCCTCTACCTCCTCCTCATCGTCATCACCATAACCTGGAGGAGGGGCACTTGGGTATTCATCAGGCCTCTGTATTAGCTCCCAATCAGATATGCTGCTCTTTCTCCTACCCTGTAATCTCTCTGGTGGCTTGTCCAACAAACTTTTCTCCTCTACCTTTTCTGCCTCTCCTTTTTTACCATCTTCTCCTTTTTTACACATATTTGGATCAGATGGTGCCACCATTATTTCTTTTTGTGATACCTTTGCATCTTCCTTAAAAGGTTCAATAGTACTTTTTGTATTTTCGTCTTTGTCCACCTTTGCTTTCTCCAATTTCTCTTTATCTTCTTCTGTTTTAGACAAGACTGTTGTGGCACATAAGGTTTTGCTAGCTTCACTATCACAACTTGAAGTATCTGTGACAGTCTCTTGAGTTGGTTTGGACACAACAGTCATTGCTGTGATGGTAATGGTCTTCTCAGTGGAGAGAGTGGTACTCTCCACCAGATTTGAATCAGTTGTAGACGATGCAGTCTCTTTTTGCTCAGCCACTTCGATTTTTTCACATTCAATACGACATGGTAGGGTGCTATCTTCCATTTCAAGTGTTTCAGGCTTATCTTGTACTGACCCTGGGCACACCCTGTCAGAGGAGTCAGCCCTTTGGAGGGGGGATACATCAAAGCAAGCCTCTGATGTGGATAAACTCTCTGATGCCTTTACTGGTTCCATACTTTGTGTGGATGGTACTGTAGAGGACGTTGCAGTCTTCGTCTCTAACATATAAAAACTATCTATGCTTGACTTTGTCTCTTTTTCAGGCTTTAGAGCACTGTCTTTATCATCAGTCTGCTTGGCGGTGGTAGGCAAGCCTGGAGACAATGGTTTGGTCTCATCAAATTGGCTTGGAAAAGAAACTTTTGTTGCAGGTTTTGTCACCTCCATGTACTCATCTCTCTGAAAACCTCCAAAGCAGGAGCTTGACGGCTCTGTCCTGAATGATGACTCCTCTTTTGCAAGAGATACGTCAGAACGTGATAGTGTTGTGTAAGTTTCAACCTTGTCTCCAGACTGTTGGCTCATAGGGGAAGATGTTGAAGCTGAGGACGAGAAACTGTATGATGTAGAGGAGAATGTTGAAGTTGAGTATGTTAAGGTAGTGTACGTGCAAGCTGAGGTAGTTCCCTCATGTGTTGCAGTTATATCTATTGTCTGCCTTTCGGCTTGATTTTCTTTTTTCAAGTCCTTTTGACTGAAAGGTTTATCATCTATATGTTGGGGTAGATGGAAAGCATCTGAGAGTACAAGGGTCTCGTCCTTTGACCCTGCTTGACTCCTTTCTTTGCATAAAGGCTCAGAGGAACCTTCAGATCTGCTCTGTCCAATATCTGCATAGCTACTTCCTAGTGGAGAAGGGGAACTAGATGAAACCCTGGGTATAGGCTCTGAATTGTCAGGTGGCAAAGAGATTCCTGGAAAGCTGCTTATGGGCATTGCTTGAGAAGATTCCTTTGTCAAAAAGCTTGGCGATTGAGACGGTTTGTCTTGATCAGCTTTTTGTGACTGTAGTACTTCGGAGGAGGTAAATTCCATTGCTGACGACAACCTTCTCTTTGTATCAGGCAAAGGAGACAACAGCTTTCTGTCTGTGTCCTCTTCTTCCTCTGTTTCAGGAAGCTTTGAGGCATCTGATTTAGTTAAACAGCTTTCGTCTTCTTTGTGAGCACTTGGGTCTGTTTTACTCACATCTTCGCTTTTTGTCTCAGGAGATTTGGACATGGCACCACCAAAACCTGTACTATCATCTTTGAGTTGTTTTGCTTCAGGAGAGGGTGTTGTCTTGCTAAGGTCCTGTTTGTCTGTCTCTGTGACTTTAGATGCAGAGGCCTCATCAGGTATTGGTTTACAGATTGGTTCCTCTTTATGGCAGCTTAAGTCAGGCAACTGAGAGTTCTTATTTACCTCTGCCAACGTAGCACTATCATCAGATCCACGTCTGCACATCTCTTTTTCAGACTGTTCTCTGGCACCTTTTTCCATATCGACATCACTACACACCTCCTCTTCTTCCTCCTCTTCCTCCTCCTCATCCTCGTCATCATCATCAACATTGAAATCTTCTCCTTCTACAAGTAACCTTTTTTCTATTAGGAGCTCTTTACTGTCAGGGAAATCTAACACTGATTTAGAAGTGGCAGAGCTGCTAACTTGACTATTGTCAGATGCCAAAACATTATCATCTATTACTTGTCCTGAATATGTTGCCGCAGATGAGACACTTGAAGATTCCTCTGTTTTCATAGGTGACACTTTTTGAGGTAAAATGTCTTTTTCTGCAGGTGAATGCCGACCACACGCTGATCCCTCTCTTTCATCATCAGAGGACTCCTTTTTGTCTTTGAGCGACTCATCAGATTTCTCTTTCTCCTTTTCTGTTCTCTTAAATGTTATTTCTCCAAAGGCTGCAGGAGAAGCTGAAACTTGGGCACTGAGATCTGATTGACTCCATGATGAAGAGGTTGATTCTTGTCTTAATGATGTGCCTGCTGGTTGTACAGCAGCACAGATAGAAAGACTATCACTGTCTTCGGTTACAGCTATTTGAGAAGCTGCTGCAGCACCTTCCATCATATCCTCTTTCTCTTTCTCTGTTTTCTCTGGTTTGTCCTCTTTGGGACTAAAAGAGTACGACTCAGCAGCTTGCAACAGTTTGTTATCTTGGGTGTCTATGGATGAAAAGTTCTTGTCAACATAATGTGTTTCTGGTCTTTCTTCTCTCTCACTCTCCTCCTCCTGGCCCTTTTCTCTATCTTCATATTTGGGTGAGGCACTTGGGCTGTGGTGGCTGCTTCTTTCACTCTCTGTGAGGGACGCGGCACTGTAGTCAACTCTACTGAAGGACAGAGGTTCTTCTTTGTACTGATCATCCAGGAGGAACATGGCTGCTCCAGCCTCTGCCAGGCTTGTTCTTCTGTTGTCATCGATGCCAATATCGGAGGCGTGATCAAAACCTAGAGCTACTTCACTTTCATCTCTGGAGTCCAAGTCATGATCTTTTGGAATGGGCTTTTCATAAGGATCATACTTAGATGCACCAAATGTTTGCTTTTCATCTCCAAGGCTCTCACTAACCGTTTCCTTCTCTGAGGTCAACTTTTCAACTCTCTCCATTTCTGCAGTGTCAGATTTCGGAATTACAGCCTGGCTGGCACCCGGAGAATGTTTGTCCAACATGAAATAAGAGCAAGGTTTTGATAATCCTGGAGAAGCTACCTCTCGCTCTCCTTCCATCTCCCTCTCGGCTTCCTTTTCTGGTTTCTCGTCCAGTTTTGTCTTTTCCGTAGCACTGGCAAATGAGCTTGCCTGAGGTGGTATCTGTTTGTCTTGTAGCGGGGCTTCCTCCACACTGGACTGGCTCTCAGTGCTCGAAAGTGTACTGCTCCTCTGTTGACTGTCACTGCTTGAAACTGTTGACAACATAGGCTTTTTCTCAGTTGAGTCTGACATTGGTTGCGCTTTACCCGCGGGGATATCAGAGGCTGTTTCTTGTTTTGGAACAGAGGACGCCTCCTCCTTTGATGTGACATTATCAAAGGACGGCTCTGGCTTGGCAAGTGGTGCAGGTGTGATTTCTGTTTTCACATCTTTGCCTGCTTCGGGTGAGGGTCTGGATTCTTCTTTGATGTCTTCATCTATTGAGGGCTCCTGCATTGTAAGTGTTGGTATTATAACTGTGATCTTTTGCGTCACTGGTGGTTTAGTTTGGTCACTTGTCTGTGGTGTTTGAGAAGAGGTTAGACCTGCAGAGGAAAAGTCATGTTCTGGTTTTTTAATCTCCACGGACAAAGGCCTGGAGCCTGCTCCTCCCATACAAATGGCCTCCTCGTCTTCATCTTCCCTGTCTTCATCCGAGGACTGGAGCACAAATGCAGGTTTGTAATCTGACTTTGATGCTGTTGCTGCTGCTGCTGCTTCTTCTTCTACTGCTGCCTGAGCAGGTTGTTTCACTGCTTTGTCCAGCGCTTTCTCCTGTAACTCCTCTCTCTCCCATTTCTCCTCTTTTGTGTGGTCTGCATCAGACGAGTCATACTTTTCCTTTTCAGTGATTTCGTCTGTTTTCACATCGGCGGCATCCTTTTCTTTAATCGTCTTTTCATCTTTGATGTCTTCGTAGGTGTATTCTTTTTCTTGCTCCTTTTCCATTTTCTCTTCTTTGCTAAGTTCAGCGACATGAGCATCATCTTTTTCTTTCTCCATCTTCTCTTCTGGACTTATGATGACCTTTTCTTCCTCATCTTGTTCTTTTTCCTCTTTCTGCATTAGGCTGGGAGCCACACAAATGTCACCTTTCACAGGTTTCAGGGCCTCACTTGATGTACTCACAGAGATGTCTGGCTGCACTTCCATTGATGAAGCGGCAGAAGTTTCTTTTTCTTTCTGAGATCCTGTAAGCATATCAGAGGTTTCTTCATGTATATGCTTATCACTAATGTCGCAAATATCATCCTTTTTAGTTTCCTTCTCCTCTGAGGTCTGAGGGCCGGGAAGATCTACCTCTTTTTTATCATCTGCCTTAGATTCAGGCTGTGAAGGATGGCCAGCATCATCTTGGAGATGCCGAACACTTAAGTCTGTTTCTTTCTCCTTTTCTTTGTCGGCCTTTTCAGAGTCTTTATCCTTCATTTCCTCCAAAATTGCTTTGTGCTCTGAGATATCACCCTTCGTCTGCTCTTTAGCCTCTTGTTTGATAGGAATGCCACTTTTTTCATCCTTCATGGTTTCAACAGAAGTGTCCTCTGTATCTTTTTCCTTCTGCTCCTGTACAGACCCCAAATCAGAAATGTCATTTATTTTTGTCCCTGTTTCCAGGGGTTCCTCTTTGACTTGAATTTCTTTCTCATAAAATTCATCTTTTGTCTCTTCTTTTATGAGCTTCATATCTGACTTTTCATCCTTCATCTGTTCCTTCTCATCCTCAGCTGCAAGAGGTTTTTCACTGGCCTCCTCTTTGCTCTCCTCTCTTGTAGGTTTGATATCAGAAATGTCTTCCTTAACTGTCACTGTATCTATTTCTTCCTTGATGGTTTTAGTTTCATCACTATAATCCTCCTCCTTTGATAGTTTCACAGTTATAGCTTCCTCCTTATCCACTGCTTTCTCCTTTCCTTCTATCGCCGTTTCAACAGCAGAAAGATCTCTACCGAGATCTTTCTCCTTTTGTTCTTCCATGGAGGGTTTGGCAACGACAGTGTCATCCTTTGGGCTCATTTTATCCTCAGACATTTGGACAGCAGAAATATCTTCCCTCTTTATCACATCCTCTTCCTCTATCTTGGTGATTTTGACGTCTTCATCTTTGATCGTTTCTTGCCCCTTGTCGTCCTCCATGACGGATTTGACGGACTCCTCAAGGGTGTCTTTTGCTTCTGCCTTTGTTTGAGCAACATCTTTGGATACCATCACCTGCTCTTCCTCCATTCTGCTAAGTTTTAATGGCGTAGTATCCTCTTTACTTTCTTCCTGTTCTTTTCCTTCTCCAGCTGTTGGTTTGGAAGTATCTTCTATACTGAGGGGTTGATCTTTCTCTTCTACCTGGCTCAGTTTGATCTCAACTGTGTCTTCTTTACTTTCCACTTGTTCCTTTTCTTCTCCATCAGCCGGTTTAACAGCAGATGTATCTTGCGTACTCAGAAGTTCTTCTTTTTCCTCAACCTTGTCAAGTTTTATCACAAGTGTATCTTCTTTACTTTCCATTTGGTCCTTTTCTTCTCCAGCAGTTGGTTTAACAGCAGACAGATCTTCCATGCTTGGGAATTTATCTTTTTCTTCTGCCTTCGTTATTTTTACAGCAGCAGTGTCATCTTTACTGGTTTCATCCTTCTTTTCTCCTTCTGTTGTAGGTTCGAGGATGTAAGCATCCCCCTTGCTTGTTGTCATATATTTTTCCTGATCCTTGGAGAGTTTGGTGTCAGAGCTATCTTCTTGTTTCTCTTCTTCTTGCTCAATGGATTGCTTGGCAGAAATACTCTCCTCTCCACTCACTGTTGCTTCCATTTCCTCAGTCTTGGTGAGGCTCGAGATAGCATCAATCCCATCCCTCTTTTCCTCTGTAATGGTTACAGCAGACACATCAACCTTACTAATAATGTCTTCCTCTTTGATGAGTTTAGCAGTAGAGTCTTCCATCGCCTCCTTTTCTCCTGGCTTATCTGTGAAAGCATCTATCTTTACCGTCTCTATGTCCTCTTCCTTTACTTCAAATACTTTGATATCAGATGTTTCCGTCTCTTTCTTCTCATCTTTTGGAGGATCTTTTGTAGTAACATCGTCCTTCTTTGCCTCTTCCTTTAGATGGTCTTTAACAGGCTCAGTATCTGTTGTTTGGGCTTTTTCAATCTCTTTCTCCTCACTTTTGATGGGGCTAATATCAACAGTATCACCATTTTCTGTCTCTTTCTTCTCTTCCTCTTTTTTAATATTACCATCACACACCTCAATCTTTTGAACCTCTGCCTCCTTCACCTCGTCTGTGGTCTTCAGGTCAAAATCTTCTTTTACATCTTTCTGCTTCTGTTCGTCTTTGATTTGTTTTGCGTCCGAAGCAACAATTTCAATCTCTGGACTTTCAGGTACTGCCTGCTCATCTTTGATGACAATTTCCTTTTCAATGTTGTCATCTTTTAAAGATTTGATGTCAGAGATTTTGTCCTTTACTGCTCCCACCTCTGCTTTCTCATCCATGGTAGACTCAACAGCAGAAATGTGCTCTGGGATGACAGATTCCTGTTTCTGCTCATCCTTGATTTTTATGCCGTCAGAGGTGTCGCCTTTTTCTTTCTCCTGTTCTGCACCGACGGTTTTAACAGCAGATTTATCATCATGGTCATCATCATCACCTTTCTTGTTATCATCATCATCATCATCATCAAGGAAACCACTTTCCCCTTCTGGAAATTTACCTTGAAGAGGCACTTCAGGTTCTGTGTCTCTGAGCCCTTTGTCGACCACTTCATCACTTTGTCCTGATGACAGGAGGGAATCCTTCTCTGACACGGGTGGTTGAACCTCGGTTAAAGATGTTCCAACAATGGGGACTGTGTCTACCTGTTTCCTCTCATCTTTTGCCACTGATGAGTCTTCTTCTGGATCCTTCATTGCTGAAACCTCTTTTATGTCAACTGATACGTCAGAAGATGTTGAAACTGCTCCCTGCTGCTGCTCTGCATCCTGTTTGCCTTCATCTTGTTTCATCTCAGTTTCTGCTTCATCTTTCTTTTCAGTTTTGTCTTCAGTTTCTGCGGCTACATCGAGGAGCTCCTCTTGCTTGTGCATTTCCAAATCAGGCGAGACCTTGGTCTTGTCTTCCACTGGTGACTGACGAAGCGGAGAGTGAGCTGCACTCTGTGGTCCGGACTGTGGAGGGGAGGCCATTTTCACAGTGACGTCATCCGGACTGAAGCAGCGCTCTTCACTCTCTGAAGTTACAGAGTCAGATCCAAAACGTCTGGTAGGCACAACAGAGGAAATGTCTTTAGGTGCAACTGCATCTTTATTTTCCTCTTCAACCGGTAGATGGATTTGTTTACTGTCTTGCACAGATGCGGAAACTGGAGGCACAGAGCCAGTCAGAGTTTCAATATCCTTCTCTTTGCTCTGTAGAGAAGCGTAGCCCTGTTGGAGTTTTTCAAGTGACATGTCAACATTAGGAGTCTGATCCTCATCCTCCTCTTCTTCTTCCTCCTCCTCCTCATCCTGAGCAGCTGGAGCTTTAGCAGCCACCTTAACTTCAGCAATAGGGAGCTGTAAGTCATCTGAGGGAGACTTAGATTGTTTGTCATCCTCTAAAGACGGTGGTGAAAGAGTTCCTGCAGAGTGTGGCTGCTCTTTGCCTTGGTCAGATGGGGTCGACGCAGCAGCGGGGCTTTTAGGTGGCTCTTCAGCTGTAGGTGCCCCGACAGACGCCACAGGTTGGTCTTCAGCGATAGAAGTAGGGAAGGAGGATATTTTGTCGTACTCTGTGATGGACGTTGCAGAAGACACGTGCTCTTCTTCTGCTAGAGGAGCTGTAATGATGTTGGTGAACACTGACACCTGCTCGTGCACACCTGGAATATAGCCTTTCTCTGTCATGGCAGCAGCTTGCATTTCCCTCATGCCATGAATGTTTACAAATGATCCAGTCTGATCGGGAACAGATATGTCGTAAGCACCAACATCGTACTGAAGGTGTGGTATCCTTTCTTCTGCCTCCTCGTGAATCTCCTCGTCGGAGATGGTCTGCTCGGTCTCAGAGTAGCCAGGAATGGTCTCGTCTTGGATGTAGGAGATAGGTTCAGCTGCGGCAGCTCCTTGAGCTATTGAGGTTATGGGAGCTGTGGCCCCTCCAACGTGTGACAGGTAGCCTTCTTCTTCTTCATCTTCCTCTTCCTCTTTGGCTGCAGCGAGAAGTCCATGGGACATTTGCTCTTCAGCTGCATCTTCAGGTTTGACTTTGATCTCTTCGTCTGCTATTACATCTAAATCTTCTACCTCTTCCAATTCAGCTTTCTCAACAGCCTCCTCCTCCTCTTCCTCCATTTGTAGCTCCTCTTTTGTCAAACATTTTGCTGCGAGAGATTCCGACTTCTCCATTTCTTCTATCTCATGCTTCCTGTCAAGTCCATCATCTTGACTGTCCTTCCATTTTGACTCATCTTCCTCTTCACCAATTCCCATATCTTCCTCCTCCTCCTTTTCTATTTTCTTCTCAGCAGCTGGGGCCTCTTCTTCTTTCTCTTCCTCGTCCTGAGACGCTGCTCCTTCATCCTCAAACTTTTGAGACTCATCTTCTTTTTCTTGAGTCGACTCCTTCTCTCTTTCTTCAGATTCGGCTTCCACTTCTGGGGCTGCTGCCTCCTTTTCTGGAGACTCTGCGCCAGGTGGAATTTCTAATGTGGTTTCTTGTGCTTCCTGCTTCTCTTGGGTAAGGCTTTGTGAAGTCGGCTCCAATGACTCCTCAATACTGTCAGAAGGCTGTGCTGTTACAGCTACAGCGGCTTCTTGCTTTAGTTTTTCAAACTCCTTGGTGAGGTCTTCAGGAGTCGAGGAAGCAGATATGCCCTCAACAGCTCCATTCTCGACTGGTTTAGGTTGAATAGTCTCAGGTTTTGGCGCTTCTTTCTTCGGCTCAGCAGGTTCAGCCTTTGGAGCTTTGACTTTTCCAGTCTTGGCTTTACTGGATACTTTAGCTTTATGTAATGTCTTTCTGACTTCTGGTGTAAGAGGTTTTAGGTCAGGCTTTGTAATCTTCCTCAGCTCAGGTTTGGAGGTGTCCTTCTTTTTGTCCTCTTTGGACTTAGCATCTTTCTTTTCATCTTTTTTGGCAGAGTCATCCTTCTTTACCCTCTTGATCTCTTTCTTCTCCTTGTCCTTTTTCTCATCTATCTTTGACACCCTTTCCTTGGTGTGCTTCTTTAAGGTTTTTTCTTTCAGGAGCTTTTTCTTTTCTGGCACATCAGTTTTAGATTTGATAGTTTTAGTTGGCTTTTTCTCCTCAGTCTTCTCTGATATATTTTCCTTCACAGAGTCACTCTTTGCCTCTGTGGCAGCTGACACATCATCCTGTCCTTCACTTTCTTTCTTTGAGGCCTTTGCAGTAGTCTTTGGAGACGACCTGAGACTCTCTTTGCTATCTGTCCTTTGCTTTAATTTGGTTTGTTTTACACCAGAGGGAGGAGCTCCTGAGGCGATGTCCTTTTGTGTGGCTACGGGATAGCGCAAGTAGTCAAGGTGCTTTAATTTTTCCAGCCCCTCTAGGATCTTGTTTTGTGGTGCATTCCCGGGAAAAAGCACTCTGATGATCTTTTCTGTAGGGCAGGCAGGGAGCCAGACAACGAGGGCTGTGACTGATGTCAGGTAGGGAACAGATATTTCTCCTTCTTTCCCATTTGGCAGCACAATACCAGTTTTGGCCTTGCTGTTGCCAGCCCACTTCTGCATTAAGAATTGCATTTCTTTGCTGTCTTTGACAGGGTTGAGAATATACATGTCTAACCTGCCCACACCCATCTTGTGGAACAAAGTAATGGGTTCAATGGTGTTGCTGACCACTCGAAAGAGAGGCTCAGGCTTGATTCCTAGTTTGTTGAGGTACTGCAAAGTCAGGGAGGCCTCTTCAATGCTGCGTTTCACTTTGAGATTAGATTCTGGCATACGGAGTTTCTCTGGCACGTTGAAAAACACCACACCGAGTTCAGGAGAGATCAGGTTCTTCATCCATTCATTATAGTTTGTAGAGTCTTGAGATTGTTCTTCCTCTTGTTCTGCTAGTTTCCTCTGAAGCAGCCCATTGATACCTGGCAGATTGTCTGCACCGATGTGCGTGAGCAAAATCGAGTCAATGCGATCCAAGTGACGGACCAGCTTCCAGAAGCAGGATTTCCGTTCTGAGCCTCCATCCACTAAGATGTTGAATCCATTCACAGCGAAGAGAGCAGAGTCTCCTCGGCCGCCGGGAAAGATGTAGCAACATGGCTTTGACAGTTTCAGGAAGCCCCCAGAGGTGGGAGGCTCCAAGAGGTCAAAAGGCGAAGGGACGTCGACCGTCTCAGAGATGTACTCTGTGAACTCAGTGACGCCCTCCATCTTGGGGAGAACAGGGTCAGGGTTTAGTCTGTATTCCAGGAACTCCCGCAGGATCTGATGTTGTCCCAGGGAGCTCCAGCCAACCTCCCCGCGGCAGGACACGGTGAGTGTAGCCTGCTGCTTGGGGGCTGCTGTGCCCAATAATTCACTGACCTGTCAGAGAGACACACCCATGCACATCAGTAAGTAAGTCCTGCATACACTGTATGTAGTAAACAAACCCAAAAAAAAACCAAAATGGTCATTGGAACATGTTTGTGGAACTGGTTTATACTTGTGCATTTCTGAACAAGTCTGACTCTTTCTGTGAAGGTCAATGAAAACAAATACAAAGCTTTTATTTATCCATTCATGTTAAGTTATTTTAAACACCATAAGTCATTCATCAAAGTACAGTACGTATTTTTCAACAAAATTGCAGATAATGATAAATCTGACTCACCCCAGGATCAGCAAAGACACGCGAAAAGGTCTGGTAGGTGAAAACCCCAGTTTGAAGGAGAAGGCCACCGTGATCTGAGCTCTGACCACTCAAGACCAGGAGCTTGTGTCCTGCTGAGTCTGTTACCAGAGACTGGATCTGGGACAAACCGAGAGAGAGAGAGAGAGAGAGAGAGAGAGAGAGAGAGAGAGAGAGAGAGAGAAAGAGGGGGGGGCAGAGGACGGTTAAAGGAGAGACAACATTAGCAGGATAGAGAGAGAAATACCTGAGTCATTGGCAATGAAATATGGGCTTTAATTGTGTCAAGGTAACAAGATTTATGAAGTGTTTTTCTCCATAAACTACAGAAGAATCATACAGACACAAATATCAGACGTTTTTTATACTTTATATCCTACTTATCTAGAAAGGAAAACTGATATTCAGATGTGGGCACTGAATGTCTGAACTTGTCTTATTTTCATCAGATATATCCTGATTTAAATCATAACGTCCCCATTTTAGACCACTTTCTTCTTGTAAAGTTGTAAAAATATAGAAATTGAAAGCAGTTTTGTGCCCCTCTGAGACACAAGCTGCAAGTTAAAAACAAAATGCAGCATTAAAAAACAAGAATATGTGTCTTTTCATGATTATTTTTTCGGCGTGTTGCCTTTTTTGGTCATGAAAAATGTCAAACTAGGCCTGTACATACATATAGGGAATTGATGGGCACATGCCTAAGTCAGCATTCTTTTCTATACTACATGATCAAATCTATAGCGTAAATTCAACCAGCTGGGAACTATATTGTAAAGTATTAAATTTACCTCAGATAAGACGGTGTCTCCTGAAGGGTTGACGAGCACCACGGTCTCTAGGACATCACTTCTGTGGTGAAGCGTTCTTTGTCCTGAAGGAGGAGAATGTAAACATGAAGTTAATCTTTCATGATTTAAGAGTTAAGTCAGGGATTCAATTCATCAACATCTATAGGATGAGTGAAGTGAACAAGGTAACCAGACATTTAGCCGTCTAGCCTGAGGACATCCTGCTGGCCCACAGCCTGACTGACCTGATGGAGAAAACCTCTTTGAGTCAAAGAGATTTAGGATACTTGTTTCTGCATCCTATGCGAGGCGATCATTATGTAGAGACCGGCGACCCACATGTGCATCAACTCAAGAGCAGCAGATAGAAAAGGAAACAGGTCATCGATGTCTGCTGGGTGAAATTTAAAAATAAAACCTTGGACAATGCATTCACTAAAAAGAGACCAATAGTTACCCTCTAACTTAGAGATCAAACTTGATTTGAAACTTTTCTTTAACTTTTTGAACATAAACAAACTGTGCTGCTTTAAATAGCTTGATTTTATAACATCTCAGGCCATGAATACCAACACATGAAAAACTATAAGTAAAGACAAAGTCCATTGGAATTGGTAGACACAAAAACAAAGAACATGTCACAAAGTGTTGAACACATTTCCATACGTCCTTTATGCATATTCATCATAATTATGCATCAGCTGTTAATTCCACAAAGGGGTGATGTTAAGCTTTTAATTCCCCTCTGTCACAGCACAGATGCAGGCTCTAATATTGGAAAGGTCTAATAATAGAAAGAACTCGGTGACTCTGCCATCCTACAGGATCTTCAGTGAATCCCCTGAGTTTGCGGCGCTGCTGTTTTTTTTTTGGAGGATCGGGCTGTCAACATGTGTTTTCTGTGAAAACCTCTGATGTTGATCATTTTCAGCCTCAGTTATAGTGGTGTATGAAGAGCTGACATCATGGAAGTATGAGGAAGGATCATCCAGAGCTCAGATTCATGACTCAACTTGATAAGAAAGCTAATTCTACACAGTAAAGAAAATAATTTGAAAATGGGTCAGCTTTCATATCAATAAGTCAAACAGCACAGTACTTATAGGTCTAGACTATCTGTGAGTCAGAAAAAGAGGCCCTCAGAGTTTGAGTTAAGATGATTGTCACAGCCATCAGATCCACTTTCAGCTCATGATTGTATTTTACGCTTCATTCTTCATGAACTAAGTTTTATCAATATAAAACCTATGTAGATATAAGACCTGAATAAAAGGATTTTCTAGTCACCACAATTTATTTTTATCTTCAAAATAGTCGACTGTGAAATTATCAAATATAAAATATCAGGAGTTTTTTCTCCTGCTGAGGGGACTATGAAATATTTTAAATGCCTCTACTAGCCTAACATTAGAATGCTAACATGCGCAACAATGACTCAGCTAACCTTAATATATTTAGCAGGACTTTTTACCATGTTCACCATCATTATCTGGTGAAAGCATGCTAACATTAGCATGCTTAGTGAAGGCTTATGGATATGTTATTTTCTCGTAAAACAAAGTAGGCTACTGGGTGCTTAAAAATGTTGACCTGATTATGGCGCTATTTTTAATTTTATTGTAAAACAGAAAGTAAAGTTAGCCTTTGAGAGTAGTTCATAAAGTAGCCTAGCTTTAGTTACTTCTTATGTAGTTCTTTATCATGTCATCCTGTTCAAATTCCCGCACCTTGCAACCTGCCAGGGTGTTTGAGGTGTGCTACAGTAGGCTATCTAAATAAACTACTTAAGCTTCTGTTTGAGAGCAGCACTGACGATTGCCGAGCAGATAATAGGACGAGTGGCACATAAATTCAGTACTTGAGAAGCAGAAGGTCCAAGCCAGCAACAGTGCCAGAATAAAAATAAAAATAAAAAAGTTCCATGGTTGCTAAGAAAACAAAAAACATGAACATTTCAAATAGATTTTTGAGGCCTGAGACACACAAAAAAACACAAGAGGTGAAATTTCATATATCTGGTATGAAGTATAAAATCCACAAAACATTTTCTTCATAAAACAAACATCCTGATAACAAACTGGAGGATGTGGCTCCCTATGTTGATGTAGCAACACACGGACGGCCATATGTTTTTTCCTCCCTGCAGACACACTGCAGTAACCAACACTCCTGTGAGATAAAAAAAAACATTTATATTTTTATTTCACTGACCCCTGCATTGAGCATGAGAGATGACGATGAGGGGATTATGTTGATGGTCGGAGAACGATGATACCGGATGATACCACTTCCACTGTTCAAACAAACATGCTGCTGCTGCAGTCAGGAGGAGTTCTGACACTTCAGCAGATCTGCCCACAGACGCGTCCGGTTTCACAGCACCATGACTAAGCTGCGAGGGTGAGCGATGATTTGCAAGTTTGCTTTGATACTTTCAATGTCGAGGAGAGAAAACGCACAACTCTGAGGCAACATCAACGACACAGACAGCAGAACACCTGCCTGAATCTGTAAATCCACCTCCAGAAGAGTGAAGCCCAGAGAGACAGCGCGTCCTTTTGACCTGCTGATGTGCTTTTCTCAGGTGAAAGAGACGAGGGGGGACTGCATTAGCTGCTGCTGCTGATGGCTGCCTGCAGGATGAATGCTCGCTGACACTGCAGACTGGCACAACATGATACTACGACAACAAAGGCACTCTAAGTCGGTATGAAACACTGCTGTTTCTCTCGCGGGGGTCAGAGAACATCAACAATACAGAGTGTCTGGAGAGACTGTGACTGCTACTACAGGCTGCTCCAATCATGTTCACTGTCACTGCAAAAAACAAAAAACAGCTAATTAACAAGAATCTTTGTATGAGAGACAGTTTGAAATGTCCTTTTTACCCAGGGAACAGGCAGGAAACATCACTACTCTAATCCACCACAACATAGACACAGCTTAAAACAATGTCTCCCCTCTTGTAGGCGCCTCGAAGCCTTTTACACAAAACAACCAGGAAGAATTATCTCCCACACTATCACCCTGATAAACACTCACAGTGGTAATGACATTGTAACATCAAACCATCTACTGTCTTATAGATTTAATTTACAGTTTTAATGCACAACTGTTTCATACCGTATACCGTACATCTCATATGTGAACACATCCAGGATCAATAAAGATGATCCTGAAGCAGATTCTGAATATTCTCCTTTGAGGATTTGTTTAAGGGCCTATAACTCATGATACAATGATGTAAATTAAGAGCGATGTACATTAATGTAAAGTCAACAGCTGCAATGATCAGTGGATCAACTAAAAATGTAATGTCCATTATTTTATAGTGGATTAATCTTTAAAATGTTTTTTATTTAATAATCCAACCTTTCTGGTTTAACTTTATCATATGTTAAAATGGGCTTGTTTTCTTGTCGTCAGTTGAGATTTCTGGATTCAAATAGCCAACAAATCCCAGATGATGTCTTTAGTAAGGTGGCGCACTTGTGAAGTCACACAGTAACTTATAGCTTAGACAAACAACATACAAAATGCATTTGAGACATAAAATAGTCCCTCAGCTTCAAGAAACATATTACTTTTGTAGTACTTTTTGTGTTTGTTCAACCTCCCTACCTCATGAAACCTATTGTTTCTAATATTTTAAACACTTCAGACAACAAATTATTTGACTTCAAAGTTTAAAAATGAAAAAGTTTCTAAAGACACAATCACAGTGACATATTCCAAAAAAAGGTTTGTACTGGCGGTAAAAGTATTTATTTAGTATCTTTCTGTAAGTGCAGTATGATCCTCCACCTCCTCGATGTGTCTCTGCTTTGACCTGAACTTCTAATAAAAGACGGTCTGATTGCTGCGGCTGTGTGCTAACGGTCTGTTAATAATAGTCTGAACTGAGAGAACACCGGATGTGTAAACTGAAAAGTCAACAGAGGATTTCAGGCTGTTTGAAGGTGAAGGTGAGAGAGCAGAGTTAGTCATCCCTCCTACTGAGGAGAGATGAATGTTTACATTTTGACTTTATGTTTTATCACTTTTTCTGGATCTTTTGGCAAAAACGACAGTGTTGAAAAAGAGTTGGTTTGTTGTCAGATCAGATGTGGGAGTTTTTATCACATCCTGTTTTTGTGTTACTATTGGGCACAGGGTACCCTTACACTTTGAGTGTTTTTTCTTATGAATTCCTGCAGTGACGCATCCAGTTAGAAACAAATTCATAAAAAAAACATGTCAAACTAGATCTTATCTCAGGTCTCCATAAAAAATAATTCATATCCCTTAAGAAACAAACCTAAATGATAGAAAAGATATGATCAT